GCCACAGGAGTGCCTTAAAACCAACCATCAACCTAGGCTCAACTTGGAAACTGACGTGTAAGTTACTGTATCTTAAAACAATATTTAAAATAAAATGTTTATTGTTCTCAAAACCATGGGATTGTAACTTTTTTTATCATTGATATTTTAAAACTATATTGACCTCATTTTATTTTTTTGAAACATATTTTTATTGATTTTGAGAGAGAGAGGAAGGGAGAGGGAGAGAGAAACATCGATGTAAGAGCGAAACATGGATCAGCTGCCTCCGACAAGCTCCCTAAGAAGGATTGATCCCACAACCGGGGCATGTGCCCTGACTGGGACTCGAACTGGCAACCTTTTGGTGCACGGGACACCACCCAACCAACAGAGCCACATCGGCCAAGACTTGACATCATTTTAAAACTTCTATTTTATAATAAAATGCAGTCATGTACAAAATTTTAAAATAAACACACACAGTGGTGTACCCTCAGACACTGTGCTTATAAGGGTACAACCCAAATGAAGGCAGATATCTATGAAGCCTAAAACATTAGTCTTTTAATTTCAAATGGTTCAGATGATGACTGTTTGTGGCTGCTCCATATCCTAACTCTTACATTTCCCTAATCATTCTGATCATTTCTAAAGATTGCAGCAAAAACAAACAAACTTTACATAATGGAAGCTTTCCCTTTTATATAAACTAAGGCAATTCTGGGTTTTTGTATTTTTTTACAATTCAAGGGTTTTCAAAAGTCTAAAGGTAAAAAACAAAAGAACAAACGTTGTCAGGAACAAATGCTGGACCCATTAATTCAGACCATGTTGCCGGAGGATTCCCTGCCTCTGAACGCACACATAGGGCTGGGCTGAAGAACCCCTGGGTTTCACTCATGATAAAGTAAGGCCCCTGAAGATTCCACATTTCAGGAGAAAACTTGACTTTGGCTCCTTACTATATAGGTCACCCCATAGAAATTACACAGACTTTTCTTTGCTTTGAATCTTGATGGCATCAGAAATGATTCTTAAAACTCTGCAGTTCAAACTGGATGGTGTCAACGATGAAGCTGGCAGGAGGCTGGGGATCAACTCAGATCCTGTAGCCAACCATTAGGCGACCTTAGCCTCTTTTCACCTCACTTACTTTTTCTTCTATCAAATGAGAAGGGATATGGATGTCTAGTATGAAGTAGGAAGTTGCTCGCAGCTCTCCCAGTCCAAGACTATTCTAAGTTATTCTAAACCCTTAAAGCATAGTTTCCATTTAAGACAATGTGGCCTGTACACTGTTTTCCCACTGGATTTTAATTTGTAGAGCTGTTGTAACACTTTACAGAGGGGAGCAGATGAAGGACAGGGTGCGTCCTGGATGGCAGTAGTGGTCTGGTGAAGCTTTTAGTCGCCAATGTAGCATCATCAGTGACTCTCAAAGTCAAAATTAATCTGTGGATCTGAATTCTATGAATCCCTAGCCATATATATTTAGACTAGTGGCCTGGTGCATGAATTCGTGCACATTGAAAGGAAATTAATTAGAAGAAATATTTTAATATCGCTATTCGCCCTTTCTCTGTGTCAACCAAATTCATGATCAACAATGACATATAGAAACACACATGTGCAATTGGCGCTAGTGAGAGCTTTATATGTATCATGCATGTGCGAGTCAACTTAGCCTTTTATCGATATAGAATAAACTTGCTTAATTAGACCTGCTTTCTGATTAAACTAAACTTTTTTCCAGCCCAGTGAAGCACCCCAACCTCTCTGTCAGGTAATTGACAGCAACACAGCAGTTAATATCAACACAAAGCACATTATTGCAGATAACACAGGGAGAACAAAAGATAAAATATTTAACTGAAGCAGTGTTTGACTATATTCTGCACAGTGAGAAAACCTGAAGTCATTTTCAAGGTCCACCATTTCTTACTTCTTTTCAGTCGGGTCAAGTTTCTAAGCTTTCTAAATCTCCATTTTCCAGCTAACGAGAAGAAAATAGGATTCCACCGAGTCTCCCATCTACCTACTCCAGGACTTTTGTGAGGACCAAATGAGATGAGGCATGGGAAAATGCTTCACAGACATCTGGTTACAGTGTAAAGTGTTTCCACCTGACTATAAAGCAAGTCGTGTTCCTGGCTGCAGAGAAGGCTAGTTGCTAGGGAGAGGAAGCCAGGCATTGCTATGTGACATCATTATCCGGACAGAGGGAAGGACACTTAGCATATTAGCCTTTTATATAGCTAGATGGAGGGCCTCTGTAAAGACTCACACATGCATGCGATCATTCAACTTAGGTTTCAAAATTAACTGTTGTTATTTGTACCATAATATGAGTTAGGTCAGAACTCCCTTTCCCAGAGTTCCCTTCCCTGGGTGGTTGTACATTGGAATTGGCTCACAGAGTTACTTGTGTGAGATCTGGAAGACAAAAGTGAAGCAACGGCCGTTTTTCTCTGAAGGTCATCACAGTCAAATATGGCAACTAACAGACCCAGAGGCGGCTGTCCTCATTATCCTCTTGCCCACTTTCACCTCTTCTTCCCAAGTGTTGACCTTGAGCATTGACCTAGGGTGGCCCCAGGCTCACCACTAGGCATCTGGCTGTAAATGCCGCCTGGTGGTCACCACGTGGCAGCAACCAGCTTCCCACAGAGCTCCAAGAACACCACCTGCCCAGGCCCACTTCAACATGGAACGTGTGTTTTGCTTCTCAGGTGAGGAGCTGGTTGGCACACTTCAATTCGCACACCTCCTTCTGCCAATTCACTTCTCATTTCCTCCCACGATTGTGTTGGGTCTAATTCCTGTTACAAATTCTGATTTCCATAGCACTCAGAGCAACACTTCTCCCCTGATTCACCAACCAAACCAAACACAAACCCCCAAAATGAGTATTCCACATAGAAGAAATTTCCATGCATGTTTTCTAATACTGGGCTTCCTGAGGGCTCATCATGTTCTAGGTCGAAGAGGGCACAAATGGTACCAAAGGATGACAACTGTGAAGTGCACACACGAGTGCGTTTGGGGAGAATATGAAGCTTACTTGGTTTAAAAGTTTGCCTTTGCTCATCCTCATGCAGGGATGTGAGTTGGTTCTATGCATTTCTCTTTCCCCGGCTATGTCACAGGCAAGACTCTGTCCGACCTGCTTCCACAGGCTCATGTCCACAGTCCCCTCTGCCCAGCGATGTCATAGCAGCACTTGCTGGCACGTACAAGCGATGGAGCTGGTCTAATTAGTGCTACTATCACACCCTGCATGGAGGTGTTACAACCTAACAAGCATTTGGGTAGAATACTAAAAACCTAAGACTTCAAATGATTTCACTGATGGTGAGGTAACATTCACACTTTGACCCACAGGTGTTCATGAGGCATTCCTTCACTCCTGGGCTAAAAAGCAAAAATCCAAAGTTTCTAAAAAAAAAAAAAAAAAAAAACCAGACAACCCAAACACCATAAAAGTGTGCACATAAATTACTTTATTGCTTTCTTCTTTCTTATTTAATGTGGAGTCAATGCTTTTGAGTAATGGTCAGAAGATGTCCAGATTTCAACATTATTAAACATCAAACAGTAAAATATGTGGAAAGAAGCCCTCCAATGTTAACTCCCAGTATATCTGGTGGAACAACCTGGGATAAAGGCCACTGGGCTTGTCGTCTTGGTTTATGCAGAGAACTGCTACCCTGACACGGGAAATAGGAAAGGTCTCAGATATCGCCCACGTGTTTAGGCAGCACGCTTGTCTTCCTCTGAAATGTCTGGGGAGACTGACAATGACTCCAAATATGAGAATCCTTCCTTTCACCTCAGGCTTAATTACAAGAGTGAGAAGAAACCCCTTAGGAACAGAAGAAGTGGTTAGGACAGCGATTTTCACCCGGTGTGCCGCAGGCATTTCTAAAACATGCACTACCTGACTATTTAGTCAGGGGCACTGACCTCTTTTGCCTTAGATTGTCAAATAGAAAAATGACAACAGCCAACACAACAATAGCCATCTGGTGTGAATGAATAAAAATTATATATATTTTTTGTCAGATCAGCAAAAAATACGTCTTTTGGTGTGCTGCAGAACTTTAGTAAGTAGCTTGTGTGTGCCATGAGATGACAAGAGCTGACAGTCTCTGGGCTAGGATGATCAAGACCAGCAATGATTCTGCTGTCAAGGAAGTGACATGTGCCTACCCAGTTCCTCTCTGACCACCCCTTGTAAAAGGACACGTGGATTCTGAGAGCGCGCACGGCAGGCCCCGCACAGTGACGAGGTGAAGCCAGGGCATCCGTGAGCATCTTTCTGCGTGTTGAAGGCACAAGGACCTCATCGTCCTGAGGTAGGGGGAGGGTCACTGTGTTGGGAATTATATTCAAAACACACATCCTACCTCCAGGAAACTGCTCTCAGCTGCCATACATTTGTTTACAATTTTGATCTCCTTTTGAAAGTCCCCAAGTCTCTGGCATCCCTAAAAAATGCTGCTGTGCCCTGCTACCTCTGCAAAGAATCAGATTCCTAAGGAGTGGAGGCTCAAAGGGACACACAGCTGCAAAAATAAATACGCAACTCAACTTTTAATGAATATGAAACACCACAAAGAAATAAATATCTCAGACTCTACAACTACAGGTCGCATTCAAGCAATCCCTCGTAGAGTCTTCAAAATGGTGATTTTCCCATAAAACATTCATCTACAATAACTTTGATCAATATGTAAGGACTAAGCAAAAATGTATGAAAATATGATTTTTTAAAAAAGAAACTTCATTAAATATCAAGAATAGTGATCAAATTCAAGATGTCACATTTAAATGAATTGCTTTTGATCTTTCCTAATGTCATCTTGGCCTTCCATACCGAGCATGGACCAGGGCCACCGGCCGACCCTCCGTGGGAGAGCCATGGACCCCCATCCTTGCCAGAGGAATCATCTCGAGCCCTCGGGCTTTTGTGATTCCACAGCATGAAGAATGCTCTTTACAAACACAGTAATACTGAAAAAAGAACATAAAAGTGCATTTATTCATGTCCATGCCGTCTAAATCTACTGATTACAGTCATCAGGACCCACTGGAACCTAAACAACAATAAAAACACGGGGACACGCATCCCCCTGATCCGCAAGTTTCCGTTCAGAAGACTCCGCGTGCTGGCGAGCCAGTTTCCTCCCTGAGAAGCATGCTCCGCGCCTCACTCTCTCCCTCCAGCATCTTATGTCTCTCTCGGTTAAGGCCTGGACAGTGTCGGATGGTGTCCCACGTCTCCTCGGGCCTCGCCCTGGCGAGATGCTGTCAGTGGCCCGTGGGCTAGGGCTGCACGAGGTCAGGCTGGGGTGCCCTCAGCTCTGCGGTCCGCCGCTGGAGCTCCTCCACCGTCCGCAGCAGCGCTGACCTCTCCAGCTCCAAGGCCAGGGCAGCCTGCTTCAGCTTGCTTTCATTGGTCAGGAGCTTCTCCACGGTGGCTTCCAGGCTCTGGATCCTACCATTTGCCACCTGGAGAGTAAAAGGAAACATGAGACTGTCGTTGCCCAGTGACAACACAGGGGGATCCCCTGTCCGGCCTTTGGGGAGCTGTGGAGCCACATTTTGGCAGAGAGGAGTCCACTGGGCACTATCAGTGCTTCTGGCCACACAGGAAGACTACATCTCCCAGGCTCCCTTGCAGGTAGTCTGGGCCCCAGAGCTCCTCCCCTGCTGTGGCTGCTTTGGGAGCTGTACATGGAGGCGGTGGCTTCACAATGCAGAGGGAGCCTAGCTCCGAGCCACACGCTACAGCAGTGATGGCGATCCTTTTGAGCTCGGCGTGTCAGCATTTTGAAAAACCCTAACTTAACTCTGGTGCCGTGCCACATATAGAAATTTTTTGATCTTTGCAACCATAGTAAAACAAAGACTTATATTTCTGATATTTATTTTAGATATTTAAATGCCATTTAACAAAGAAAAATCAACCAAAAAAATGAGTTCGCGTGTCACCTCTGACATGCGTGTCATAGGTGTGCCATCACTGCACTACAGGGATGGCAGCTCAGATATGGCCACAGCATCTTCCTGGAGAAGAGGTGGTGCTTCGGGGACAAAGACCTCTGTGCTCCGCCACTGAGATTTGGAGCTTTACTTATTATTGCAGCACATCCTGGCCTGTTTAGACGACACCATCTATTTACACGTACCAACTGATTTCAAACTAACAGTCAAAAGGGATTCCACGTAAAGGCCCAAGCAGCAATAGCTCACTAATCTGAAATTCTTTCTATTTTCCGTAGAGTGACAAGGAACATGGGCATTCACCCTGGAACATGTGTGGGGCGCTGTGAACAGCCACGCATTCTGCTTAAGAGGCTCCCGTGCAGGGTCTCTCGGGCCGGTCACCACCTCCGCGAGCTAAGTGGTCTCCTCATGTCCCCTTGGCCCACGTCCTCAGTGGCCGGCACAACATTAATGTCAGTTTGCACTTCCAGGTGCTTCTCTCTTGCATGCACTTGGGCAGGCTTCCAGGCAGCCAGTGAGCTGGCTCTAGCGAAGCTGAGGGTTTCCTGAGAAAACCACCGACCCCCCTGCTGTCCCACGGCCTCTCTGGCCTGGGCCTCGGCTCCCAGCTGTGCTTTGGTCACCGGGTGGTTAATCCAGTCCAGGAGCCACAGGTTCCCATCTATTTAGGGGGGTGGGGGGATGGGACTATTTTTTTTTCTCATTTTCAAACAGGAGAAACTGTGTTTTGAACACGGTAACACTTGTGCTGGACAGACAACTCATGACTCCAAGTCTAGCTTTGGCTGTGCTACTGGGACACTCAAAATAGAAGGAACAGGACTGAGATCCTAAGTCTGCGGGCCCACCAGGCTGGGCTGCTCATGCCTGGTGCGTTCCTCCCAGCAGGACTCTGATCCACCCAGTCCTACCCTCGGCCCAGGCCTGGGTCAGGCCCCACCGCGTGTCCAGGAAGGATGGCTTGTTGAGAAGCCCCACGGCACACCAGGGGCACCCACAGCTCAGCGGGGAGCTTTCTGCAGGGCCACTGACTGCCACGCGAGCGTCAGGTCTCCCCGTTGACACCAAAGCTCTCCCCTGAGAGAGTAGGTCTCCTCCTGCACAGGGGGCTGCCCCCCACCGCACCTGGCTCCTGGCGCCCAAGGACTTGCGGTTGATTACTATGAAAAACGTCCATCCATTATTATTTGGCACCACCTGACATGTCTATGAGATTGCCTCATGGATGCTGTCGGACAAAACAGGGTAACGGTTTGGTCTCCCACTGCGAGACAACATTTTTAAGTGCTACCGAGAGAGTAAGTGGGGCTTTGGGATGCCTAATAACTATATAGGCAGAACAAAGCTAGAAAACGGGTCAATTTTGATACTTTGGCAAAATTAAAAAATAAGAAAAAAGATTTATGTTGAAAAATTAACCGCTGTATTGAACGCCTAGCCTTGGACTCTGAAAACTGCTTAAAAAAAAGAAAAAGACGGAGGTGAGCGTCTCACAGAACTTATAGTCCAGCTGAAGGAGAGTAACCCCCTGTGACTCCTCGAGGGTCATGGAAACAGGACATACAAGCACCTACCAACCAACAACACAGTCCGTACCCCAACTCTTGGAGAGCAACAGTGTCTTACGGCGCCCCCACAGCAGGGCTCAGTCAGTGTGGTGGGGGCATAAGCTGCGGTCCCGAGTGACCCCTCCAGAAACACAGAGCCGCTTGGTCAAGAGAAAGAGCATTGCGAGGAGAAGGCCTGTTGTCACCATGACCGCCCGGCGCCTTTCCCGAGGAATGCGGATTTTGGAGCAGCTTTTCACAACACCCTCTCCTCACGAAAAGGGACAGTATCACAGAAGCAACACAAACTCACTCTCTACCCTCCATCTCACACACGCACAAAACCCACCCGGACGTTGGCCCAGTAAAATGAGCCTCCTGCCTCTCTTAACAAGCCCCGTGCTGCAGACGCGAGTCTGAGCTCTGTGAGAAATGCTTCCGCCTGGTATATGTCAAGGGCCCAGTGTTTGGTCGGAAGGCGTTTGAAATGACCGCCTACACTGCAGACCCTTACAGGCCAGATAAGGCTCTGTATCCCCTTGAACTGGAGAGACTGCACACAGACACACTTTGAGTTAGGACATCTCAGTCACGGGGAGAAAAGCAGCCACGTTTCCGAATGTGACAGGCAGTTAGGACTGGGCGGGGAACGCATTTTCCTTTGTTCCTCTAGAGCAGCGGTTCTCAACCTGTGGGTCGCGACCCCTTTGGGGGTCGAACGACCCTTTCACAGGGGTCGCATAAGACCATCGGAAAACACATATATAATTACATATTGTTTTTGTGATTCATCACTATGCTTTAATTATGTTCAAATTGTAACCATGAAAATACATCCTGCATATCAGATATTTACATTACGATTCATAACAGTAGCAAAATTGCAGTTATGAAGTAGCAACGAAAATAATTTTATGGTTGGGGGTCACCACAACATGAGGAACTATGTTAGAGGGTCACAGCATTAGGAAGGCTGAGAACCACTGCTCTAGAGTAAGTATCTCCTTGGGTACAGGGACAGATCCCTGCGGAGGGAAATGCACTTCAGACCCGGCTGATTTATTAGGCTCTCAGATGCTGGCCTTTCTCATATCACCGCCAAGCCTGTGTCTGCAAAGCGGCAACTTCCTATGGAGAGAAATAGAGGCTCAGGTCGGGAGGGAAAGCTAATTCTCAGGTCAGCCCAAGAGCGCATAAAACACACTTGGGGGTGGGGTGGGGAGGAAAATGTATTTTTTCTTGCGGAAACTAAAAAAAATTTTTTGTAAACACTCCACAAACAATTCCTTAACGCTGACAGCATTACCACCCATTTCTGATGTTAAAAAAGTAGACCATGTGGTTCCTTTATTCCATCAGCTTGGAAAAGGGGCTGCGTGTGTGCTGAGCCCTTAGGTATTCTTCCTGTCCTCGTCACACAAACAAGGGAGTCAGGACGGAGCCGGCCAGCGGTCTGCCCCAGGGAAGCGTGGGTGGGAGACGTGGGGAGACCAGGGCTCTGGGCTGCCCTCTGCCCTTGCTTCCTGTCACCCTCTGTGCACACAACCAGTGTTTGCCTTTCTAGTGTTCTCATCCACACGCATCCATGGTAAAATGGAAGCTTCCAGAGTGGAGAACTATGTCCTTCATCAATCAAGGCTTGGTATTTGCACCAAGGACACATGTATCACGATCCTATGCCCTGGTTTACTTTTTTAATTTTATTTTTTAATATGTTTTTATTGATTTGTAGAGAGAGCAGGAGAAGGAGAAGGGAGAGATAGAAACAACGAGAAAGAAACATTGATGTACGCCCCCTACTGGGGATCGAGCCTGCAACCCGGGCATGTGCCCAGACCGGGAATCGAACCAGTGACCTTTTGGTGCATGGGCGATGCTCAACCACTGAGCCTGGTTTATTTTGCAAGGTAGATGATGTCAGTGTCGCCTTCCTCCTTTAACATCCCTCTGTGGACCTGGCTGATTTTGCTCATAGAAGCTCAAGCCTTTGCTTCTCTTGTCATTATTCAAAGCACAACTGCTGGCACTCAGCTAAGAGCTCTGCAGAGTCCGGATCGCAAGTTCCTGCGAACGGCAGAAACAGCCCCTCAGAAGGCTGTCTGACCTCAGCAAAGGATCACCTGTCTGCTGCCTCAGAGGAAGGCCCAGGACTCCTGGGATACCTTTGATCCCAACTCTAAACGGACCTGGGCAGAAAGGTCCTGCGGTCGTGGGAAAGCCCGGCCTGCTGAGTTAATGAACTACCGGGGTTCAGGAAGCTGCCTCCTGAGTATGCTCTACCTGCAGTTGTTCCAGGAGGTCGAGGTTCTGTTTGCGTAAGCTGCTGTTGGTTTTCTCCAATTTGTCCATTCTTTGGTTGTCGCTGAGAGGAGAGGAATCGATAAGTTCTTCTTGAAGCACATGGTACTCCACTTCATACGCTTGTAACTGCTTAGAAATGTCCATCTCAAACACCTATTAAATGCAGAGAAGTCATCAGGCACCGAAAGTGAGAAAAACCACACAAGCGCGCGCACACACACACACACACACACACACACACACGTGACCATGTCAACGAGCCCCACTAAAACGCCTACTCTATGCCTGGTATATTAGTGATAATTTAAGAAAACTCTCTGCCCTGAGAAGGAATCATTTTACTTGGGAGGAAAGGATATAAGAAGCATTTGGAACTAAGCCTAAGGCAACAGTAAGTAGGGTCTCTGATATTCATTTTCCAAAAGCCGACACCTTGTTTTTACAAAGGCACACAACATTTGTTTTGAGCTCTGATTCCAATACTTATTTTCTTCTTCTCTGAAAACTCTATTAGGCTGGATGCATCAACTATGGGTCAAAGGGAGGAAACAAAACAAAAGCATCGCAGCCCTATCTGCCCCGTCACCGAGTCAAAGTTTAATTATAGTTCAGCTGGGTTTTCAGAGCTACAAGAACAGCTAAGTAATGGAGCTGTTTACTGAAAACCATGCCTTGCACACAAGACATGCAGCAATGAGCCAAAACCCAAATGTCACCCACATAGATGAGTGAATATGAAACAATGCCTGCGCTGCCTTCCTTCCCATAATAGCAACAGTGATGAAAAAACCACCCGTGTGAAAAACAACCCGAGTGCAGAGTGAGTGAGTGGCCTGTCTGTACTTTCTCTCGGGGACTGAGCTTGAGGCGGGCAGGGGCAGGGCTGAAAGGGGGGCAGAGGTTGCCGCCTCAGGCACCTCCTCTCTTTCCTGGCTGCATTGAAAACACCATGGGGCTGAGCCTCTGGGCACCCAACACGGACCCTGGGGAATCTGAGAATTCAGTCACCACATAAAGAAGCCACAGGCTAGAGAATACACAGTTAGAGAATGAGATTGGGCTTTACAGGAGCAGAAACGGACTTTTCAGCACATTTCCTGAAAAGGAAAGGCCAACAGAGTTAAAATCGATGGAGAGCTCGTTTCCCCTGATGGCCCGCTATCAGCACCCACAGGGCTGAGTCCTATCTTCCCTGAAATCAATTTTAAAAAACCATGTTTACTATCTCACTGTTCACAACAATCTCATTTTGTCTCCCTTAGGGCTAATTCCCCAGCTTCCTGGCTTTCAATGTAATTCGATGGATACTAATTAGGCACCAAGTCTTTCTACGCTGAAAAACTAACTGGCATTATACGGTGGCATGTGTGCGCACTGTTCACTGTATTGACCCGATTCTCAGTCATCGCTCAGAGTGACCGTGAGGTCAGCAGAGATTACCATCTCTATTTTCAGTCAAGGAAACTGACTCAGAGGCTTTGAGTCAGTCTCAGATCCCGGCCCCACCAGCGACTCCCCGAATGACCTTGAGCAGGTCTCTTGACCTCTCCCAGGATCAGTTCGTGGCCTCCAGCAACTCTGGGGGAGTTACAGGACACAGCGTTCCCAGCACCTGGCTGGCAAGCCAAGAGGCAGGTGCTCACTCAGCTACGGGATCTGCTTCCACACACTTGTGGTGAAACCCTCACATTCAAGCTCGCGCTTCAGCAAAATGACAAAGGATGCCACAGCGTGGACCTTCTGAACAGCTCAAACCGCCAACAGTAAAACCGAGACTGCGTGGCATTGGGGGTGTGACTATAAATGGGGTACAGAACAAATGTCACACACACACAGCTACCTTTCTTCTTCCACCAAGATTTATTTTTAAAGGAGCTCCTAACCTGGAAAACTTGGGAACAAAACGTCTGGCCATTTACACAAATTGATGATCAGCTGAGGTTAATGGCTCTCAACTGTGCCTGAAGCTATAAACTCTCAGGCCTCCATTAATACCTAGGAACCTGCCCGGGTCATAATTGTCTCTGCTTAATGGCACCATTATCTCCTGGGTCTCCAAACACTTAGGGCGCTCAGATTTTGCAGTGATGCCCCAGAATTTATCCCAAACCATGGAAGCCTGTGGTTGGTGGTAAAAAGAGCCCTGGTCTCCTCAGACAATGCTTGTTCAAGTTGCTATATATTCTTCATAGCCATCATTCTTATAAATGGCTTCATGGTACTCTACCACCTCGACATATCACAACCATGCCAATCCGTGCATCCAGTGTTGGCTGCCCAGTTACTTGAGAGTTTCTGTTGCTCTAAATGACAACTCTAAGCGTCCTTGTCCATATGGCTTTCCCCATATTTCGGATTATGTTCTAAGGATACATTCCAGGAAATAGGATTACTAAGTCAAAGGGGAAGAATATTTTACTGGTTCTCGAGACATATTGCCAAACTGCTAACCACATGGGAACGATCAGTGTACAACACCATTAGCAGCACACGGATGTGCCAGACTCCGTGCACACACCCTTGGCACTGTGTATTGGCATTAAACATTTCGTTTGGTTAATCTAGTCAGTAAAGCATTATATGTAATTTACATTTGAATCATGCACGAACCTAAATATTTTCCCAGATGCTGTTCATTACACGGACCTCCTCCTTAGAGAACTAAGTTCTTGGCTCATGTGCTAGTGGAGACGGAGTTTCTCTCTGCCGTCTGTGGACACTGCATAGTGAAGCTGTGAACCTGGTGTCTGCACAACTAGCCCCGTGCTTTCCACGTCCCCACCCCACACCTGCCCCGCCTCTGCCGGTCTCAGTGGCGCACTCAAGGCTAAGAGAGGACCGGTCCGCCCAGGTATCAGCAGTAAGGGGGCGGCAGGGTCTGTCGTGCATTTAAAGACAGTAATAAACCCCACTAATAGTTGGTCTGCTTTTTATTACCACCACATGCACACAATCCTAAACAATGCCAGTGGTAAAATAAAGTATCCCTCCCACCCTACCACACCCTCTAGGTCTGGCACTGATGGGCCTTTTTAAAAAGTACTCACTTCCAACAGTGCAAACTGCCCAGGCAGAGGGCTCCTCCCAAAGGCAGGAAGGGGGGCCTGGCCACGGACTCCGAGGAGCCCTTCTGAACAAAGGAGCCTTGTTAAGATTCTGGTTCCGGCCCCACATGCTCAGCTCGCACAGAGAACTGCCAGCTGTTTACGGTGAAGTTGCCAGGAGCAGAGCTCCTCCATTGGTTCCCAGGGTGCGAATCCCCTGGGATCTCGCTAAAATGCAGATTTGGACTCAGCAGGTCTCTGGTGAGGCCCCAGATGCTGCATTTCTCACCCGATACACTGACAGTTCCTACCTGATACACTGACAGGCTGGGGCCAGCTTTAAATGGAGCCCAAAGGAAGCTGAAAATAGGCTCTTTCCCTGTCTCCCCACCCCCACCCCGACTCTGTTTTCCTTCCTTACACTGAACTGGGGTTGCAGAGGCCGATGCACTCACTGTGACAGGAATGCAAACTGGACCTCCTCTTAGTTTCTGTTTACACCCAGGGTTTCCCCTCTTCTTGGGTAGGGATTTTTAAGTCACACCAACGACTCCACAGAGCCCGCAGAGGCCCTGTCCTCCTGCCCGGGGCTCTCAGCTCTGGACTGGCCCCTCTGTGGCTGCTCCCGGCCCGTCTGCATGGACTGGGCCAGCGTCCTCGCTGCTCTCTCTCATCCTGTACGCAGGCTGTGTCCCAGCCTCTGGAGCCAAGACCACCCATGGAGAGGGCATTTAGTGAAACGGAGCCAATGGCGATCACAGAGACGCCAGACCTGCCCATGCATACAGGACAACTGTGTGCAATTAATGCACTTACCACTTCCACCCTGATTCCTCCAAGGTCAAACCTGGGGTTCTGTGAGTCTGCAGAGGAAGCATGCTGCACCTCGGCCACATTTCTGAGCAGGACTCGAGACGACAGCCCCCTCTGGAGGCCAGGACTCCTCAGGCCCTAACCATCTCTCTCTCTCTCTCTCCCCTTCCTCTCTCTCTCTCTCTCTCTCTCTCTCTCTCACACGCACATGCACACGCACACGTACACGCACACGCACACACGCTGAACCGCCAGGCATCTGGAATCTCTCTCTAGTCTCTCACTCCCATGCCTTTGCATATGCTGTGACCAGGGACCAGCAACGACAGCCTGCAGACTGAATCTGTCCCATCGCATGTTTCCGTAAATAAAGTTTCACTGCAGCACGGTTACCTCATTCCTATACACACCGTCCATGGCTGCTTTCGCTCTGCAAAGGCAGAGCTGAGTGGATGCAGCAGAGACCTATGGCCTACAAAGCCCACAGCCTCACTATCTGGCCCGCTACAGAAGACGTGTGCTCCCCCTCTTGGCTCATTCTTTTTTCTTTTTCTTTTTTTAACTTATTTATTGATTTGAGAGGGTTGGAGGCGAGAGATTTGTTGTTCCACATATTTATGCATGCCTTGGTTGATTCCTCTATGTGCCCCGGCTGGGGATAGCACCCACAACCTTGGTGAAGCGGGGTGATGCCCTGACCAACTGAGCTACCTGGCCACGACTTCGGCGAATTCTTTGAGGCTCAGCTGAACTGTATGCCTTCAAGTCTCAACCATGAGCGCTCACACCCTCCACCAGACAGGCTCCCATGAGCCTTGCACAAGCACTGCGGTAGCTCGCACCACACTTGTAATTACTGGGTTACGTGCTTATTTTACGCACCGGCTGGGCTTTGGTGTCCAAGAGACACGTTATATTTCCGGCTCTGCCACGTTATACGGATGGAGGCATGTTACTCTCTCCACATCCGGTCTCCCCAGCTTTAAAACAGGGGTTATAGTCCCCATTCCAAAGCTGTCAAGGAGTCAGTGGTCTAACAAATGCCAAGTTCAAAGCAGCCGCCTGAAGAAAACCAGCGACACACATAAAACTGTTCTCTCCCTGTGTTGTGTCCATGTCCGTCCTCCGAACACTTAAGGGGCACCCAACAATCTCAATAGGTGCCTTTTACAGAAAAGGGGAGGAAAATGGGATTTTTCCTGGAGCTCCATATCCAGGAGGTAAACAATGTCAGCTGAGGCTGCTGGCCTTAGAGTCAGGAGCAAAGTCAAGGCACTCACTGGGCCAGACTTTGGGTTCAGTGACCAAGGCTCTCTGCATTTCCCCAGCAACATAAAATACCAGGGGAACGAAAATATATGCAACAAAAACTCTGAGAAGGAATAAATGCACACAACTGCCAGGAATTACAGTATCAAACGGTGGAGATTTTGGTATTAATATACAGGTAAAATACAGAGAAACTCTGTAGTGAAATGACACCCAGAGGCCCTGGGGGGTGTTGGGTGGCTGCTAGAGCCTGTGAGGCCAGAGGATCTGAGTGTGAGACCCGCCCGGGTGACTGAGGGCCAGTCCATTATCCACTTTGAGCCCCAGGCTCCTCGTGGGTTAAAGCCACCTCTCCTCTCGGGAGTGCAGTCATGACGAAATGAAAGCATGGGTATTTATAGACTCACACGGAACCTGGTAAAAGTAGGGCCTCCACAAGCCAGAGTTAGCGGCGGAGGCTGTCAGTGAGTGGAGAGCTGCTGCCTCACATAGGCCTGTGAAACGTGGAGATGCAAAGTGATGCCTAGCAGGGCACCCTCCCCCTCCAGGCCGTCTTGCTCCTTTCTCTGTGCCCAGCACCTAAGGAGGGGCAGCCAAGGACATCACAACTCCGCGTCTGGGGGCACCAGACCGGAAGTGCTGCTCCTCTTGGACTAACGGAAGTCCACAGAATAAGGATTCTTTAAAAGCTTTATTTCACTATTTGTTTTTTCGGAATTGCTCTATGTTTTCATTGTATTTGGAGCAGGTGAGGTAAGTTCTAGGCTTACGAGAGGCCTGAGGCTGACTCCGCAGTGCTCCACACAGACCTCTCCTGGGAGCTTCTCAGCCAGCCCGCCTTGGGCACCTCCCAGGTGACCCCGCCCTCTGCTAAGCAGCTCAGCCCTTCGCAGTCAGCAATCACTACTGGAAGATTCTTCCTTAAGCAGAGTCCAAATCTGCTCCCACCCCTAATCCAGACCATGGGATAACTGGTCCAGTTGTAATTCCTGGCTCCATTCACCCCTCACCCTTAACATTCCAGACAATAATGGTTCTACTGCACCCAGAAGCCAGAGGTGCTGTGACCACAGGTGTGGAGAAGAATTCTATTAAAGTGCGAGCACACACACACACACACACACACACAAATATTGTGGAATAAACTTATATAAAATGTATATGCTCTATCACAACTTTGCTATGAAAAGTTATTTTTATGAAATAATATTTCAGCAGAAAAATGAAAACACTTATTTTACAACAGCCTACATTGATTAGATGTATGAATTTTAGAAGAACACATGACTAGGGGTGAAGTCTCTTAATTATAAGAAACTTCTGATAATTTGTGCTGGCCACCACACCTTACCATTGCCATGGTGTTGCCACATGGCATGTCAGCATTGGACTCACAACACATGCACACGCACACTCACATTTAATCACTGGACACATATTTGCGATGTGACTCCTACACACCAGGCGTCACACAATATGCTGCCCAGAGTACAAAGTGGTAGGAAATAGGTCCTGCTCAATACTACTACTACTACTACTACTACTACTACTACTACTACTACTAAAGCTCCTACATATCCAGGACTGACCCTTTGGAAAGGTTAGGACTGAATCGTACCTGATTGATGGTCTTTTCCATTTGCACCAAGCCCAGATTGGGTAGTGTGTTTTTTATAAAGTCGACTATGGTCTCTAGGTTTTCATGCTGCAGAATCAAGGGCTTATGGCTCCCCAACAGACTTAAAGCCACTTTAAATATGACCTCTGATCCCTGAAGAAAGATCATATCTGGGAAAACACAGAAATGCAGAAGGTTAAACCAGGCCAGTTTCTGATGAAATACCATTCAGTTTCCTTTTCCACACACCGCAGAGCAGGGCAGAGGGAAACATGACCCAAACTGCAGTTTTATTTCCTTTTTAAGAGCCTGACATTTCAGATAGGGTTGTCAAGGCAATATTGCAAACAATAAAAGAAATATAGGTAAACATACTAAGATTTTGATAAACATTTTTATTTGCTCCAAAAATATATTAAATTCAAACATACTTTGAAAGTTAAATTGAAAAATGAAAAATTTTTTATCAGTCTATTTTTCCAGGAATGTTCTAGATTTCAAAGGAGTTACTAAAACATGTTTTTATGGGTAAAACAACAGTTTTTAGACATAGAGCATTAGATATATAGCATTCAAATATAGATATCTAACTATATAGCCTAAGAGAGAGTAAGTGAAAAAATGCCTCTGTTTCCTCTAATTTGAAATAAGGAGTTGAATGAAAAGATCTCTAAAAACTCTAAATGTCTGCTCAATTCAAAAAATGCATTATTAAATATAATTATACTGAATTTTAGCTCAATAATGGAGTAAAGCTCAGCCCTAGCAACTGATTTTGGGTGACTAAATTCAGGCAAGTTACCTGACAACTGGAATAATCTATATATATAAAAAGCCTGTGGTCGTCACACCCTCATGCGGTAACAACCAATCAGCAGGAGGCTGTGTGCGTGGCAGGCATACGCGGGCACCAGCAGGGGCTTGACCAGGAGGTGCATCGGGGGAATCCCGCAGTGCAGGCCACAGGACGGGACTCAGGGCTGTCTCGCAGCGTGCCGGCCCCACAGGGCAGGACTAGGGGCAGTCCCAAGGCGCAGGCGGGGTCCCGGGTCTCGTGCGATTTCATGCTGGGTCACTAGTCCTATATAATAAAAGGGTAATATGCAAATCGACCAAACAGTGAATGACCAGTCACTATGATGTGCACTGACCACCATGGGGCAGATGCCCAATACAGAAGCTGTCCCCTGGTGGTCAGTTTGCTCCCACAGGGGGAGCACTGCTCAGTCAGAAGGCGGCTGGCGAGCGCAGCAGCAGTGGCAGGAGCCTCTCCTGCCTCCACGGCTGTGCTAAGAATGAAGCTAGCAGTCGGACATCCCCCAAGGGCTCCTGGACTGTGAGAGGGTGCAGGCCGGGCTGAGGGGAACCCCCCCACCCCATGCATGAATGTGGTGCACCGGGCCTCTAATCCTATCTAATAAAAGAGAAACATGGTAATTAGCTGTACATCCGCTACTCTTCCCATTGGCTAATCAGCAAGATATGCAAATTAACTGCAGCCAAGATGGCGGCCGGCAGCTAGGCTACTGACACGAACAGGAAGCTTGCTTGCTTCAGTGACGGAGGACTCCAACGTTCCCCGCCTGCCGCTGCTGGGCTCTGAGCTGCTAAGAAACATTGTTACAAATATAGAAGCTAAACAAAACCCCAAAAACCTGTTTTCAGTCAGCTGAGATCTCAGAGCTGGAGTCGCAACAAAGTTTCAAATACAGAAAGTAAACAAAGCCAGAAACCTGCTTTCAGCAGCGAGGTCTCACAGCTAAAGCTGGCTCTCAGCTCCAGTGACAGCCATAAATCCAAGAATAAAAAAAAAAAGGAAAAAAGGAGTGGTTGGGAGCTTCAGTCACCCACCAGCCTGAAAACGGCCCTCAGCCCCTCACCCAGACTGGCCAGGCACCCCAGTGGGGACCCCCACCCTGAAGGGGTGTGACCAGATGCAAACAGCCATCATCGCCTCATCCAGGATGGCCAGGCACCCAAGCGGGACCCCCACCCTGATCCAGGACACCCTTCAGGGCAAACCAGCCGGCCCCCACCCGTGCACCAGGCCTCTATCCTATATAGTAAAAGGGTAATATGCCTCCCAGCACCGGGATCAGCGGAGCCGCGAGGCCTCCTGGCCCCTGGAGCAGCGTGACAGGGGGCAGCGCCCAAATCCCCTGATTGCCCTGCGGCTCTGTGTATGACAGGGGGCAGCACCCCAACCCCCTGATCGGCCGGCTCTGTATGTGACAGGGGTGGCACCACAACCCCCTGATCTGCCCTGCTCTGTGTGTGACAGGGGGTGGCGCCGCAACCTCCCCATCGACCCTGCCTTGAGTGTGACAGGGGGCGGCGCCCCAACCCCCCAATTGGCCCTACCCTGAGCGTGACTGAGGGTGGCATCGCAACCTCCTGATCTGCCCTGCTCTGTGCATGACAGGGGGCGGCGCCCCAACTCCCCAATCGGCCCTGCTCTGAGCCCGACCAGGGGCTGCACCTAGGGATTGGGCTTGCCCTCTGCCACCCGGGAGTGGGCCTAAGCCAGTAGATCGTTATCTCCCGAGGGGTCCCAGACTGTGAGAGGGCACAAGTGGGGCTGAGGGACACCCCCCCCCCCCGCCAGTGCACAAATTTTTGTGCACCGGGCCCCTAGTGTACATATAAGAAAAGATATAGTTTAAAGATGAGAGCATGAATCTAATTAGAGGCAACTGCCAATCTGTCTCTCACTCTGGCTGCAGGGCAATGGAAGAGACCAAGCTGGAAATTCCATCAGGTGGAGGAAGACAGAGCAGATGGGGAAGAGCCCCAGCACCGCACCTCTCTGGGTGGTTCCGTGGGATGACATGTAAAAGCCGTGAAGAAACACAAGTGGCTGGATGCCGCCGTACGTATGGGAAAGGGGTCAGGGTGGTGTGTGGATCACACACAGGGCAGACCAAGGTGCCGACTGGCCGGTCAGCCTTGGAGGTGCGCTGTGACCTGCACGAGGCCTTAACCACCTGAGCACACCTGGTGCCGGTGGGCAGGGCCCTAAGCGATGCTGTGCGGAGGTCAGCCTGTCTCTCTCAGGGCTCAGGGCCACAGAGTCCACAAACTTCACAACTGCTTGTGGCTCAGGGCAGCCCCCAGGGACCAGAAGTTTCCATGGCTGCCTCCCTCTTCGGTTTGGCTGCAGAGGCCGATCTCTGAATGGCAAATCTTAGGGGAAGTATCCGTGTTCTAAGGCAGTGCCATGGAAGAATCTCCCCGTGGAATGTCTGCTTTACAAAATACAGTGTTTACCTGTGTAAAGCACCACTGCAGAAAACAGAGACTTAAAATACCACCATAACCACAATGCATTTTTAAACAGAAAAGACATTTCAAAAGAAAAAGAGTAAATTTGAAGATTCCGTGGTTTAGACATGAAGCCTTCCTTTCAGTACATGAACATTTATAGCTGAACAAAACCTGATGGCATTTGTCAGAATATTTAGGACAGTTTAGTCAGGGGTCCAGGGAATGGACTGCACTACCTGGAAGTACATCCTGTAGTGACAGTTCACTGTCATCGGTCTCTGAGGGACAAGTACCTTAAAACTAGATACAGTACCATTTGGGGTGGTGAACACACAATATACAGTTGATGTGTTATAGAGCTGTACACCTGAAAGCTACATAACTTTATTAACCAATGTCACCCCAATAAATTCAATTTAAAAATTAGATACAGTACAGTACCCAAGCCAATTAAATAATTATTGGGGAGCTTTTGAGCATAAACAAATACGTAATCCATATCAGCAGTCTCTTAAGGTTAGCAATGAGTCCTCCACGTTTTATTCCTTTATGAACTTGGTGCTTATAGCAAGTCTACTTAGTAGAGTGTACTCTAAACTCAGACTTTACTGGACTGTATGAAAAAAACAAAAAGAATTTTAGAGAGTTGAGGGTTTTTTTTTTAACTCTCTTCATTAGTGTGTTAAAAAACACACAATAAAATATAACTGGATATATTTATTTCATTGGGCCTAATGGTCTGTATTTAATGTAATAAAAAATACATATATACCTGCCTGACTGGCATGGCTCAGTGGTTGAGCGCAAACCTATGAACCAGGAGGTGGCGGTTCGATTCCCAATCAGGGCACATGCCTGGGTTGCTGCTCGATCCCCAGTGTGGCGCATGCAGTAGGCAGCTGATCAATGATTCTCTCTCATCATTGATGTTTCTATCTTTCTCCCTTTTCCTTCCTCTTTGAAATCAATAAAAAAACAAAATTTTTTTTTTTTAAACACACACAATAATCTCCTTGGGAAAGTGATTTAATTTCCCGCATTTGAAAATCACTGTGCAAGGAATCACCCCACAGCCCTGCACTGCTCAGCTCATAGCACGGGCTGACTCCTTTCTTCTCTCCTTTCTCGCGCCGCCCAGAAACAGGCTCAGGGCTCTCCCAGGCAGGAAGTAAAGGGAGCCTTAAATTCAGCTGACTCCTGCACTTGGCAAGTTATTTGCTGAGAACAACGCGAAATAGCTACTTCCCTTTGAAGATGCTCCGGCAGCCCTGTTATTGTGCTAATGGGGACGGACACTCTATTTGAAACTCCCCGAGACATAAAAGGGCAATTTTCCTGTTGGGGGGAAATGATAAACGCCAAGCACAGGGCCAGGGAGCGAACGCATCCTGCATCTTTTCCAGCCACCTTTGTCTTTGTCAAGGGCAATCACTCTGCCTAACTTCCCACTGCAACTGGGAACAGGTGGGAGGGGAAGGAAGCGTGGTGACAGCCCTAACAGATTCTGCAAACACTCCCTTCATCAGCACTGTGCCATGCTGCCGAAGAGCCATTTTTCCTGGCTGTACAAACAATCTTGCTCACCTGTGCCTTTTAGTCCTTGAGCCTCTCTGAAGCCTTCCTCACATTACAGGTGGCTTCTGTTTTTTTGCCAAGCCCCTGGTTTTTACATCCCATCTCCTCGCTCATCCACCTGGAATTACATCCTATCGAAACCTTCAGGAGCCTCCCCTTCCATTAGGAGCAAGCCTGGTCCTTTACCCCCAAAGGCAGACCCCTCTGCACCCGAACAGGAAAACACGGGAGGAGGCTACTTTACACCATGTGACGCCCACACGGAAGGACTGACTTTCAGAAAAGCGTCATTACCAGGCGCCTTAATGATGAAGGTCAAGGAACATACATCATTGGTAGCTGCCCCTGCAAGCAGCATACACTTAAATTCGAGGTGACCTATTAATGACTATAGGAGCCACGCTGACTGCACGCTGAGAATCCTTTACTTACGTATACAATTGTGAAGAGCTAACAAAGGTCCATTTGTTTTCAGGGCTTATCCAGGCCTAGAGACTTACAATGAAATGGGCTTCAGACCAAAAAAGACTCCAGTGTATGAATGGCACGCTTTGGGATTTAAAACTGAGCAATCCACCATGACAGGGGTTTAAATAAACACGGTTCAGGTCGCCAATGCTAGGTACAGGAATGGTTTTTAAAAACCTATCTTTTCCAATAAAACAGTTTGTTTTTAAGGACTGATACATGGGATGGATTGTGCAAAAAAATTAAAAAAAAAATGTAGTGTTGTTTTTTTTCAAAATGGCATCATGACACAGTGTGCCTTGAGCTCTCACTTCCTGCCTACAACTCCAGGCGCCCTGAGCCCCTAGCTAGCAGGACGTGAACTCAGGACAGCAGGGGTCTGTGAGGTCCAGGAATCATCTTTATGTAAATGTATAAGAAACTCCAATCCCACCACTGACTATACAGAACATAGCGAGAAATAGGTGGGTTTTTTTTTCAGCTTTTATCTGTGAAGTCATTAGGCTGAGCTTCACAGAGTTCCGAATACTCATTTCCAAAGCAGAGTTTGCTTGTTTGCTGTCAGTGCCTCCTACCCACGGATGCAGCCTAAGGGGAGATGTTTTCCTAGAGATTTGTGGCCCTGGAGCCCAGGACGGTCTGCAGGCAGCAGCTTTGGTGCCTGTGGCCAGCAGCAGGGATAACTCAGAGCTGGCCCTCCTGCCCAGTCCCCTTCCCACCCTGTAATTTGATGTCTGAGCTGTTTTCAAACCATTCACAACACCCGCCTCCTGCCCTCTCAATCTCCACCTCTCTCCATTATCTTGTTAAGACTCTCTTTGAATTTCCAGAGTAAGAAAAGTAAAATACGCAAAATTTTAGGCAAGAAAGACTGAAGCTTCCGGTTGGAGAGCTTATAGTTCGTGTGACTCTCGTTAGTAAACTAAGCCGACACTTTTGAGGCTTTTAGTTCCTTTTAAACAATAGTATAAACCCTTCATGAACTCTCACTAACAATTTGTTTCACCAGGAAGAGTGTTTTGAGTATCTCTTTTCTTCAATGCTTATTTTTTTAGGAACAGAAAATAAAAATGCACTTGGGAAGTAGCTATACAAAAGAGGGGGTTAGTAAACATTTTAAAAACAAAGAATCTTCTAGTAAAGTCAAATGCGAACTTCTTTAAAAGTTCTTCTGGAGCCCTAACCGGTTTGGCTCAGTGGATAGAGCGTCGGCCTGTGGACTCAAGGGTCCTGGGTTTGATTCCGGTCAAGGGCATGTACCTTGGTTGCAGGCACATCCCCAGTAGGGAGTGTGCAGGAGGCAGCTGGTCGATGTTTCTCTCTCATTGATGTTTCTAACTCTCTATCCCTCTCCCTTCCTCTCTGTAAAAAATCAATATATATATTTTTTTAAAAAAGTTCTTCTGGATAGAAGTGAATACTGAAAATCTAACTCTTTGGTGGGGTGGGGGGAGAGGCAAGACGATAACTCAACACCCACTTATATTAAAAAGCAAATTTTAGGATTTCTAGAATTTGGATATCCAAGCTATTTACCCAAAGCTGCCTAATATAGTATGTACTCTCCCAATGTTTGTGAACATCCCCTACTTCCCCTTTAGATGTTCCCTAATTCTAAAAACAAACATAAAAAAAAGCTGATAAGATTACAGATCTTTAAGCTATCAAGTTACTGAACATAAATGGCACTTTAAAACCACCTGATGTTGGGAGGGACCATCAATTTTTTACACATTTTTTTAAAATATATTTTATTGATTTTTTTACAGAGAGGAAGGGAGAGGGATAGAAAGTTAGAAACATCGATGAGAGAGAAACATCGATCAGCTGCCTCCTGCACACCTCCTACTGGGGATGTGCCCACAACCCAGGTACATGCCCTTGACCGGAATCGAACCTGGGACCTTTCATTCCTCAGGCCGACGCTCTATCCACTGAGCCAAACCGGTCAGGGCAGGACCATCAATTTTTTAATAACCTCCCCCTCCACAGAAAATAAAATACAAAGAACCTGAATTGTCAGTTATGATTTCATTCTGCAGTAGGAAGAGCACCTGGTACAAGCACTGGTGGCGCTCAGTGTTCCACTGGCTCCTGGCATCCAAGAGGATGCGCCTTCCCTGCCACCCAAGGCCGTTTTAAAATTGTTTTTGTTTTTTATTTTTTAATTGATGCATAACAGACAAGGCGGTTTTGAGACTTTGCATGTGAATACCTATTTTACTTTGACAGGGACAATCTTCTTGAAAAATAAATCAAGAAAATGGGAGATGGTTTGAGGTGGGAACAGCCTAGGGCTACAGAGGGGCTACAGAGGGGTGAGACATTTGGGAAGATCAGACAGGAGACATGTGAGGATGGAACGGTGAGTCATCCACACGGAGGTGTCGCCAGGAGCCTGATGGCAGAGAAAACCAAGAGCTCAGGGCAGGGAAAGAGGAGAAAGGAGAGGGGGAGATGCAAAGAGAATCTAGTAAGAACAGCAGCCCAGAAGGCACTGGTCAAAAAGTTCTAAGGGGCAATCGGTGAACATCGAGCATCTCAGGCCAGGGAGGCTGGGAAACGCCTCCTGGCACATTGGCTGGGGCTCCCTGGCTGAGCCTGTAAGGTGTCAGCCCAGTGGTGAGGGAATCTCATCCCACATGAAGGCATGTAGGGGAGCCCGATGATTGTCAGAAGTGACGGTCTTGCAATTCACAAAACCCAACCCTGAAACTTAGTGTCAAACAACACCCCGTTCTCACAGAAGACACAGGCAGGAAAACAAGAAGCCTCTCCGTGAGTGACACGGAACACGGGAATGCTGGTTCTGGCAACGTGTGCACCCACTTACCGAAGACTCTGGCCACAAATCCCAGGGGGAACTGGGAGGCAAACACGGTGAGAAACCAGGGCGCGGCGTAGAGGCTGGGGCCGATCTCGTGCTCCTCCAGGTGGTTGTAGAGGTCTCTGTGGTAGTCATGGAGGAGCCGCGAGAGCTGGTACATCTGGATCTGCAGGGACACAGGGTCAGCGCTCACTGGCTGCTACGCGTGCGCAGTGACTTCCGCCCTCACAGGGCAGAGAAGACTTCCTAGCACCTGAAACATTCTATTTGGCTCAGGATGTCCTTTTTTAAAAAATGTATCTTTATGGTTGAAAGTATAGGACAAATGAGAACTGCTACAGATGTGCCCCCTCCCATTGACCCCCTCTACCCCACACGCCCCCAGGCCTTCACTGCACTACTGTCTGTGACCATGGGTCATGCACAGATGCATAATCCGTTCTTTGGGTCACTGATCTCAGCTTCTCGTTTATCCACCCAGAGCTTCCTGGGTGCTCACTGCATGCGAGGCCCTGACGGGTGCAGGCCCAGAACACTAACACGGGGTCTCCTACCGCTTCCTTTCTTTTTACCGTCCCCTCGTGTCCTTGGCTGAGAGAACCTAAACTTCCGTCTGTGGAAACACTTCATAAATTCTCTTACAAATACAATTCCTAGCAAAACTTAAGCCCAGGGAATCGGAAATAGCGTGCCGAGAGTGAAGCGAACACAGGTGGTGCTTCTGTGGAAGGTTCTGCTGTTCCCGTTCGGTTAGTACGTTCCCCCTGGGTCCCCCAATGCTGAAGCAGAGGGTTCCCTGTGTGGAGGGCGGCAGGTCTGTCAGGGAGTCCGTGGGAGCCCCGGGCTCAGCCCAGAGCCCAGCAGCCCCGCCGCCCCAACCCAGAGAAACGATAGCCAGAGCGGGTCAGCTCCCCGCTGAGGTGCTGGGGGTTGGATGTGCACTGTCCAAACTGAACAGAACTGCTTCCGGGGACAGACAACACAGGCCTCTGAAGTACCAGCTGTGGCCTCTTGGTGTTGTTTTTATGTAAAAGAACCGAATCACCAAGGTCACAAGACCCCAAAAGAGAGCTGTGTGTTACCATATTGAATGATATAAAACTTGAACATTCTGCTCTGATATGGCAGGGATGTCTGGATTAAAGCTACAGGGAAGAATGCAGGAGGGACCTGGACCTGACAGGATGCGTGGAAAGTGTGATGTGTGTCAAAAGCTTTTAGTGAGTGGAATGGCCTCCTTTTATGAGATTTCTGTCCATGTGGCTCATAGTCAGGGGGAGGTGAATTGGACGTTTACCCACACAATTTGGTGCTAACGTAACCTTTCTAAGAATACTTTTCTGAGGCTTTGAAATCACAGCATCTTTCTGGTAAATGGTCACATAAACACATGATCCAACATTCAGGAATATTCCCCAAGTAGGACCCGGTTTTCCCACTTCTGAAGGTGCAGAATCAGCACTTGGCACTTAAACACACTGCTGTTGGCTTTTCTCTTGATAGGACCTCCCTCCCATCACTCACGCATCCAACCAACACTGCCTGGGTGTCTACTTCCTCCCAGGCACTGTTGTTCTAAGAACTACGGATGCAGCTCCAAGATGGATCCAGAAATAAACAGGTAATTTCAGGCAGCGAGAGTGTGATGCAAAAGAAATGAGACAAGGTGTCCTGATACAGTGTACACGCCCGGGGTGGACGTGGGGGACGTGGTGGTCAGAGGAGCTTCTCCTAGGATGTGGTATTTGAGCCGACCCCTGGGTGCCAAGGGATCCCTGGCACAGGAAGTAGCAAACACCGTGGGAAACAGGAGTTAGACCTTCTGAAGGTGCTTTGATGAAGAACAAAAGGGAGGGCCCTAGACACAGAGGGGCTAGCTGTGTGACCTGGTCAAATTCTGTAAACCCCCCTGAGCCTTAGTTTTCCCACCTATAAATTGAGCGGATGAATAGTGTGTTCCTGAGGGTCAGTGAGGAGATCAGTGCCTACAAAACAGCCGGGGTCATGCCTCACAGAGAGCACGTTCTCAGCAAAGATCGCTATTATAACGCTAACTGATGGTGGCGAAGCTCCTTAGTAATAACACTGTCGTAACTAGGCATGGTGCCAGGTGGGTACTGGAAATATCGGGGCGAACACTGCAAAGTACATAAAGAATTGTCTAACCACAATGCTGTACACTTGAAACTAACAAAAAATAATACTGAATGTAAGCTGTAACTAAAAAAATAAAACCATTTCTTTTTTGTTTGTTTGTTTTTAAAGAAAAAGCTCTTTAACTAGATCTGGAAAGGAATCATAAACGTTTTGGCCTTTTGTCTCCCTCAAAGACATACGGAAGGCTCTACCTGTAAAATGATCATGTCCGGCCGGTACTGTTTCCGCAGCCCCCGGTCAAACATCAGAAACTTGAGCATGTGAAAAGCCTCTTCCTCGCCCATGTGCAGCAGCAGGATGCCGGCCACGAAGCTGAGGCCTTGGCAGTATCCCACTTCCTGGTCCAGCAGCGAGTAGGCCTTCAGGATGTTGTAAAGGGACAGCTGCCCCGCGCCCAGCTGGGCCGAGAAGTACGGGTGTGTTGGGAAGGTTCGACCTGTGAAAACGAGAACCATCAGTCGTCGTTTTAAAAAAGAAAGCCTGTGAATCAGAAACCCGATGGCCTGCAGGTTACAGCAACAGCTCCTCAGAAGCCGGGTATCTACGTGAGCCCCGTATACAAGGTCACCTGGTTGTTCTGGGAAGAATGTTTGCAACCAACCCCTCAGCAAGCATTCATGGTGTTTTGTGGCGGGACAGATGAGAACTGCCACAGGCCCTACAGATACCTGGATTTCAATCTGAAACAGAAGAAAATGGCCTGCCCTCTAATCGGATAGGAGCACCCATCCCAGCACCATCTGAAGGCAGCCAGGCCCTGGCCAGCTGCAGACCATCCCCGTTGCTTTGCCAGGCTGCCCTAGACGCGTTCCCTGTGCCGGCAAGGGCTTCGGGCCACACACATTATTTCTGTGCTCTTAAACCACAGGCAATACTTTGAAATGGACTGAGGAACAAGAGGTGTTTTCTTTTCCACACAAAAAAAACACAAAACAGCCCTAACCGGTTTGGCTCAGTGGATAAAGCATCGGCCTGCGGACTCAAGGGTCCCAGGTTCGATTCCGGTCAAGGGCACGTACCTTGGTTGTGGGCACATCCCCAGTAGGGGAGTGTGCAGGAGGCAGCTGATCGATGTTTTTCTCTCATCGATGTTTCTAACTCTCTATCCCTCTCCCTTTCTCTCTGTGAAAAATCAATAAAATATATTTTTTAAAAAACACACACAAAACGGTTACCTTCCTTCCAGAAAGAGGTTAAAAAAATATGTTCTCAACATCCTGATTATTTACACAAAAAGCTGGTATTCAGCAAAGGTTTAAAGACTTCTTTTGTCCAGGTGGCTTTTGTGGCTGATACTTGTCAAATCACCTCACCCTCTCCTGGAATGTGACCGATGGGGAAATGTGTTTCCAGGGAGCAGAGGAAAAAATGCTCAGCCAGGGCCCAGTGGGGACCCAGGTGGGGATCTTGGCCTCCTTGGATCAGCAGAGGCAGAAGGGGAATCTGGGCCACAGGTTGACTGTTCGGCTTCCTTACTTGGTCAGCGAAAGGAAGAGGACACTCCTGTGTTCTTGCTCAGCCTCGTGAGAAAGCACTCATCCACCAGGCGGTTTATCTGCACGGGATTGAAGTGGCTGGAACAGTCCCCTACTACCTTCCTGAGTTCTTGTCCTGTATTCATGGTTTGTCTGCTCTACCTCTTCCCCCAACAAATGTTCCCCAAACACACCGCACACATGTCCTCCCACTGGGAGAAGCATCAACGGCTCCCAGTGGAGCTCTGCACACTCACCTCCTCGCCTGCCCCCAGCTCCATCCTCTACTCCAGCGCCGGCCTAGGGACTGCGAGGGGGCCCCGGGTCTCTGAACCCCTCCCTGCTGCGGCAGAACGGAGCGTGCGCCAAGCATGGGATGCCTGCCCATGTTCCTAGTCTAGGGTGGCATGCCAGCGGCCCTGGCTGCCAGCCACAGACATCATGTGAAATTGTCAGCGGCCACGTGGGAATGTACAGGTGAAATTAATTTTACTAAGACATCCTGTTTAGCCCAACATAGACAAAATATTGTCATTTTCAACATGTAATCAATATACAAATGATGGAGACATTTTGCATTCTTTTTTCATAATAAGCCTTTGAAACCCAGTGTATTCTGTACTGACGGCACATCTGAGTGCTCACCAGCCATATCCAAGTGCTCGACAGACACACGCTACCACGCTGACCACACAAGTATACTGCTTTCTGCAGCTTCTCAGAGGGACTGGAAATACACAGGAAGCTCCTCACTCCATTACCCCACCCCGACCCCCTACCCACCACCCCCAGCCTCCAAGGAGACCCAGGAGAGCAAGCGCCATGTGCACAGAGTAGGATGGGCTGGTCCTTAGAATCACCAGCAGACCCGGCTGGGTGTGGTCAGCTCTGAGGGAGCCTTACACCACCTCAGTCTGGGAGGGAAAGCTGTGGGGAATGCACTAGACAGAACAATACGGTCTCCTGGAAGGCCATGACCGGAGACTAAGAAGACCTACGTTCTAGCACTTTCTGCCACTCAGTAGCTTATAACTTGGGCAAAGGACTTGATCTCTCTGGGCCCCCTTCGTCACCCGAAAGTGGAGTAACAGGTGCCCACGCTCACACAGCGCTGTATAGAGTTCAGATCTGACAGAGCTAGAGAACGTTCCCAGACGATAAAACACTGCCCAACTACAGTCTATTATTCTTACTCTTCATAAGAAAAAAACCTTGCAAAAAAGTTGATGAGACTAACATCTAATTTTACAAAGTAAATAAAGAAGCAGGAAAAGAAAGATCCGTGAAAACTCAGAAGATGTCCAACCAACAAGCATTCTGTTCTTCTGGCCAGAATACGGATGTCGCTTTTGAAGAAACACTGAAATGGGATTTGTCTCGCTCTGCACTATCCACCTTTCCTGGGCCCTCCGTTCGCCGTGGTGCAGACTAAACAGGAAGCGTAGACTAAACAGCTGCCTTGGCGAATGCCTCCTCTTGGTGAGAGGTGGGGGGAGCAGCGGGCCGCGTGGAGGCACTTCGAGGTGAGGCCTCCCTGCACCGGCCGAGCAGAGCTGGCAGCGGCTCCCTGGAGCCACCGGACACAGTCTTTGCCAGCTCCAGTGCAGAGAGAAGCCCGGCCCTGCCGGTCCCTGGATAGAGCCTGGAGAGATGCTGAGGTTACTGGGAACTGCACTGCTGGGAACGGAGCTTCTTTCCGCCTGGGAAGGTGTCTGGAGGACAGGGAGGGAAGTGGACAGAGGGGCAGGGCTCTCAGGGAGGTGGCTGCAGCTGGCCCGGGGGTGGGAGCCGGGCAGCACGGAGCTGACGTGCATGCAGCCTGGCCCTGCCTGTGAATGAGAAAGGCCCACCCTCAGCTCCCACAGGCCTCTCCCTGGCTGAGGGAAAGGCTACAGCAGGCCTCAGGGCGGGGGAGGCCACCCTGGGTGTGGCCATGGCAGACAGCTCCCCAGAGAGAGGGCCCCAGGCCCCGTGCTGAGCTGGCATCTTCCTTCCCCTGCAGAAAGTGATTACATCTGAGCAGCCATGGAAGAAGGAGAGGAAAGCTAAGAGAAGAGGACGTTCAAATAAAGGAGGGGAAGCATGCGCCCCAGTCCTCCCCTGATCCTGGGAAGCTGGGGGGGGGGGGGGGGGGAGGGCACAGAGAATCTGTGCTCCCTCCCTTTCAACCTCCTACTCTGAATTCATTTTTCACTTCATTTCACATGATAGGAACATGATGTCATGTTTCCTGTTACTCATCACATTAGCAAACAGGGCTATTGCCAATTCACAGCACTGCTCTGCTCGGGGTCAGTGGGCCACACGGGCACCAGCGCCACTTTGTCCCCAAGGTGTAATCACAGCCTGTCAGCATCCCCTTCACCCAGCCATGCGTTTCCATGGGAACACGCGGGATCCTGGGCTCAGGGGGGCCCTCATAACACAGAGCCACAGTGGGTTTAGGCTGCCAGTGAAACGGTGTGACCATGGTCACCATTTGACCTGTCTGTGCCTCGGTTTCCTTATTTCTTATCTCAGGGCTGTTGTGGGGGTCATGTGAGATTGAGGTGCTAGTGCAGTGCCTCCTCTTCAGCATCTCAAAAGACACATGGAGCATGTGACAGGCTCTGTCCTCGGAGCTGGGGCAGCCAAGGGGAAACAGCCCCAGTCCAGCCCACAGGGGCAGGCATCCCATGGGGAGAAAGGCAATGAAAAAGCTGCTGCTGCACCTGGCCGGTGTGGCTCAGTGGTTGAGCGTCAACCTGACCCAGACACCAAGAGGTCACGGTTCGATTCCCGGTCAGGGCACATGCCCGGGTGCAGGCTGGATCCCAGTGGGGGGCATGCAGGAGGCAGCTGATCATGTTCCTCTCTCATGGCTGTTTCTATCTTTCCTTCTCCCTCTCTCTCTCAAATCAATAAAAACATATTTAAAAAAGAAAAAAGCTGCTGCCACTGCCATAGCACCGAGGGCAGTTGTGGGGAGTGCAGGGTGCTCAGCAGCTCGGGCTGTGTCTCTGGGAGCGAGGTGCTCCCCCCTCTCTCTGCACTTCAATTTTCTCAACTCTCAACAGGGACAGAGTAACAGCTACCTGACGGCGCTATGAGGGTGACAGAAAGTGGCTGAAGCAAACATCACACACTCTTGGTGTATGGTAAAGTATTAGCTGTAAATGCTACTGACAACTATAGCACTAGTGAATGTGGTAAGTGTCACAGGGGGTGGGGGGGCAGGTATGGGTGGGACAGATGGCTTAGCAGAGGCATCTCATCCAGCCAGAAGGTGGGAGAAGAGGCTACGCCAGGGCCAGTTTCTCAGAGATGACATCTGAGCTTAGACCAGGAGCGACATTTAGGAAAATGACCCTGAGGGTTGCTGTGTGGCTGGACAGGAAAGACCCGACGCTGCTGACCCAGCTCCTGATTCCTGGGAACATCCTCCTCCCACCGGCTGCTGCGGGACCCGGAGAGCCAGGCCTGAAGCTCCGCCGGGCGCTCCGGCGAGTCCCAGGCGGCGGCAGCAGCCAGAAGGAACATTCGAGAAGCAGGGCCACACGCTCTGAAAGCGGCAGGGCTGGGTTCCCACGGGCCTCCCGGGAGCCCTGCCGCTGGGGGAGACAGAGGCCCCGAGAGAGGCGGCAGGCGGAGAGGACGCACCCGCCACCTCCGCGCGCCTCGGACAAGCCAGGGGCTCTTCTGTGCCTCGTAATTACATCCTCATCACACATGCTCTTCCCTGTGGCAGCGGCGCGTGTCCAATCCCTCGTTCCCATCGGAGTCGTTCCCGAGCTACTCCAGAGACGCGATACCTACCCTTTTCCAAAATAAAGCCGCCCCAGGCGCACACAATCTGCTTTCTGCAGCCTTTCTAATAACCCTGTTGGGAAGCAGGAAAGGCTAGGGAACGTCTCCTGTAATTACACCAGGCCTCGGCCCTGACACTCGCGTCTCCCCAGACGCTCCTTCGTTCGGCTATAAAGCCGCCTGTCTATACGTGAAACACAGTCACGCCTGGAGCCCTCGTGCCCGCCCCCCGCACGCTGCGCAGGCTTAGCAGCTGCCCGGGGAGGGACAGAGGTTTCCATGTGTGCGTGGCCAGGGCACCCTGATTACTCCAGGGCTGTTTTAATTGAAAGGCTCGGTAGCAAGGCTGGCCTGCTACACCTGAAGGCAGGTCACTAAACATCTCGGGCAGTCTCCCCGGGTTTCTCCGGCGGGTGCCACGTGCACCTCTGCGACGCATCGATCTGCAGACTCACCAAGGTCGATGAGAATGGCGTGCTGCTGCGAGGTGAGCTGCTTTAAGAGCTCTTTGTACGGCGTGTCCTTGGGCTGCTGTTTCCGGGGAAGCTGGTGTTTCAGGTGGTACTGCTCGGCGAGAAACTTCCAGATCTCACCCCGGTGATGACGTGGCACACCTTCGGGGGTGGGGAGGGTAGAGAGTACAGAGAGACTTTATGCACAGAATTCCACTTAATAATAAAAACGAGCTGTGTTTTAGTCCATCGATCTGAATTCTTGTCCCATGACAACTAGCAGCATAGGAAGCAACTAGAATTTTGTCCTATTTTCTCCCTTCCTTCCTTCCTCTACACCCCCTGTCTTCCCCCTCACCCCCTCCCACTTTCCTTTCACCTTCCATATATACACGCTTTTGGATTATGCTAGAATCTCCCAGGAATAAACGGTGGGTGGTAGGAGCCCCTATCTGGTGCTGATCCATCGTGCCCTGAGAAAGAAGACCAAGCATGTAACAGAATGTCATCTCATAAAAGCGACGTGACCCCAGTGCGTTGACATGAAGGAAATCAGATTTCACAGAATCTATCGCTTGTGCGAGGGGGCATGCAGGAGGCAGCCAATCAATGATTCTCTCCATCATTGATGTTTCTGTCGCTCTCTCCCTCTCCCTTCCTCTCTGAAATCAATAAAAACGCATTTTTAAAAAAGAAAAAGAACGAAATGCAGAAATGCATCCTGAAAAACATGTTAAGTGATTTATAGTGGGGCTTTTCACAAAATAGCTTTTTTCCAACTGGGAAGTTTTCCCAGTTATGAGATGAACAATTTCCTCTTATTACTAAATCGTTCCCATTAAACTTATCAGACCTTTATTTTTTGAAGGAAAAAAACACGGACTGTGTGTCACTGGACAGTACCACGCATTCTGGTATTTAAGAGAAAGCTTAGGTCTGTTCTTGAAAAACAAAGGGTCATGCACAGTGGAGCCAATGTGTTTGCTAAGAACGCCCTGGAGTAACCTTCCCGCACTCGGTTGTGCCTCCTCTCCTAACCCAAGGAGAACCCTGGGGGAGTCCAGCCAGGACCTGCAGGCAGGGTTCTGGGAGGACAGGCGGCCACCTTCCACCCAAATGTGAACGCCTTTGCGACTTGAAAAGTAATACATGCTCACTACTTAAACCAAACACTTCTGGAAAGGCATAAAGAAGAAAATGAAAACTACCCGTCACTGGAGTGAATACATCAATCACCACCCAAAGGACAACGCTCTGAAAGCAAAGGGGAGGCAGGGTACTGATTATCTCGCTGGGACAAGCTGTGAAGCAGGGCTGTGCCCGGGAACCAGATGCACGGTCATCCTGCTCATTACTCAGACGGCTGCGAACACCTCGGGATGTTTTCCTACAGACACACGCACAACGGGGCGTGAGACCACGCTGTGCCTTTTTCTTTCATTTAGCAACTCCTTCTTTTGCATCAGTACAAATCCACCGTCATTTTCAGGGAGTAAGACATGGGTGTGGTCACATGGTTGGGGATTCTGGCTTGGTTCTAGTTTTTGGCCTTTAAACAATGCCACAATGAGCATTCTTTCCCACCGCAGAACCCTGCTGACTGATTAGCATCGAGGTTTCTATATATGGCGTTGCTGGGTCAGAGGTAAGCAGTCCGCATCCGGCCCACACTGCCGACTGCTCAGGTAGCCAGCCGCTTTGCAATCCCACTCCTAGAAAAGCACACTCCAGTTCATAAAGTTCTACTTAACATCTTTTATTCATTAAATGAGATCATTTAAATAAATCATTAAAGGAACCGTTTAAACCCAAGCTAAACTTTGGAATATTTAAAATTCCCCAGAACTATTCTTCCTTCTCCCAAGCTGACACCCTAATCCTGTGGCTCTGATCCCATTTTAACTTGGAAAGTTCATAAATCCCTTCATCTCCATCACTTAGGGGCTCTCACCCATACGGAGACTGTCTTTTCTTTTAAGGGGTTGGAGGTGACTTGGCCTCTACCCAGAAGGCCGAAGGTGTGGTTCTGACTTAACCTCATCCTTTTATTCTGAACTGCAAGACAGACTGTGGCCATTTGTTTGGAGTAATTAAATCCTATGTGTAGAAACCGGCTGAATAATTGACAAAGCCCCTTTTACAGTTAGAGATACAGTTCCTGCCACGGAAAGCAATGTGGCAATGTCGGGAACACATGAGGGAATTCCAGGTTAGCCTCAGCTCACCTCGGTACACCCACATTGTTCAACCACTTATCCCTAACTCCACTGCACAGGGTCCAGATACTGACAGTATTTCTAGTAGCCTCCACCCCCGTAAAAATGCATGATGAAAACCAGTATATCCAGGCGTCAGGCTTCTAAGAAAGTCACACATCTGGAACAGCTGTCACAGGCCCCGGCGGTTTACCTTTTGCAGAAGCAAAGCCACCTGAAGACCATCATGTAGTCAACAGTGAAAAGGGAAAGAACGAACTCATTCTTTTCTCTGCTTCCTCCTTTTTCAAAACAGCGATCTAGGGCCATGTGGTGCAATGGCGAGCCTCCAGCAACCTCTATGTGAGAACTGGAAGAGAGCTCTGAGCTCCTCTGTTGGTCCATGCCTCCCGTTCTAGCAGCCAGGAGGCCAGAGCCCAGAAAGGTGAGGACACCTGCCAGAGCTCACACAGGGAGCCTGGCCCATCTGCAACCTGCGTCCCCACCTGCCGTATTTCTGGTCTCAGAGAGCAGCACAGAGGGGCGGCTCAACCACAGGCAGGGCCTACGCTGCCTAGAACGGGGGTGGGTGGGGGAGGGGGAGTGTTGGGAGACCAGCTCTGGCCATTACTCAACTGCTCGAAGTCCAAGTCTCCTTATCCACAGAAAGGGAAAGTCATAACTAGTAATAACTATGTGTTACTAAAATGGATTCTGTCGAAACCCAGATAAAGGTTAGGTAATGCCTAACTGACTACTGTGCAAAACCACTTGCCCCCTTACTCCCTTAGAGATGAAAGATGCCTGTGTATCTTCTCCCATTGATCAGCTAATGAAGTCAGAAGAAAACCGTAAGGTTTATATGTATCTGTAACCCTTTTTCTAAACACTTGGTTATTGGTGACTAGATTGGCCAGATCCCAGGAGCCCTGGAATCAGATTAGACTCACAAAGCCCCGCCCTTGCCAGCAGACACTCATATGCATTTTAAAAGGAATGGCCGCTTCTTCACTTGAACACTGATAATCATTGATAATCATTGAAGTTAAGCTCTAACATGGTGCTTCCCTAACTATCTGTGATGGAGGACCAACTTTTTCTTTTCAGATTCTCCAATCCACAGCACAGTGATACTTTTATAAAACAGCACAAAATGAATTAGTAGAAAAATAAAATGAGGCGGGGGAGAAAGGCTGGAAAATAAAAGTCCACTGTTTTTCATTAGGATCTGTCAAATTGCCGGAAAAGTTTCTAAACACATTGTTTGCGGGTGGTTTTTATCGCGCGCTAACAGGTGGCGCGGGCCATTTTTGCTACTTTTTTGCACAAATGGCAACGTTCAGTAAAATTACGATAACTTTAGTTTACGTATTTATACGTTACCCACATTCTATCGCTAGTCTATAAAAAACGTATTAATACGTGTCCCGCGCTCTACTACACTGGTAGAATGTATAAATACGTAAAACGTATAAATACGTTTCCCGCATACAATGTGTAAAGACTTAGTCTAAGTTCTGTACTCATCTTGGACCAGTAACAGTTCGGACTGGTACACGGTCAGCAGACCACACTAAAAAAAATAAAAATAAAAAAAATAGCAGAACTGCCCGCTCTCCAGGGCCTCTGGGCGGAGCAGACACTGCTGTGAGCCCCTGGTTTCAGCTCGCTTACTCCTCGCCGCAACCTCTGTTGGTACGATGTGGAAGTGGGGCTCAGAGAGGTTCAGTCATCTGCCTAAGATCACACTGTACATTGGGAGGGCTGGGATCTGAACCTGGGATGACCTGTCTGAAGTCTGCGTCCAACGCTCTATTTGTCTCCCGAGAGGAGGGAAGCCACACAGCTTGTTCTCAGCTTACTACTGACCTCAGGGTACATCTCAGAGCGTTACTCAGTTTGTAGCCAACTAAGTCCTTGGGTTTTCCTCCGTCTGCTCCCTGTTTCCTGGGCATTTTAACTGATTAACTTAAGAGGAATAGCGAGTGGTAATGAAAGTCGCCTCGATTAACTAAGATATCTGGAAACAGATTAATTAAAGAATGAGAACAAAGGGTGAGATTGGACGTAAACATTTCTTTTTTTAAATTTCATACTTCTCCCCAACCATCAGTGAGGGGTGAGGTTTGCTGGACTGATTCCCAGGCAGGCTCACCTTGCCCAACAGCCGAGTGCATTTTTTCCATGTCAAACTTAATTTTGGATCTTCCTGGCGTGCTAAGCATCTTTTCCCACACCGTCGTCACTTCTTTAAGGCAGGGCGTGATCTCTTCATAATCAAGCTTCAGGCGCTTGTTCAGCAGGTCGTTTTTGGAAGCTACAACAGATCATTTAAGAGCACGTTAGTGAACACCACGGCTACGTGTCTTTTATTGCCACCTGTGGCTGCCGAACAGAAAACGTTATCTAAGCTGAGAGAGGCTCTCCAAGGACCCTTCCTTCTCATGTCCAGCCAAACCTTCTAGAAGACTACAGGCTTCTACTGAGCATCCTGTTTCTGCTTCCTGGAACAACACAGAATAGATGCACACTCTTCAGACGCGTCTCCTCACACATGAGGGTAGCCAGCATTTCCCACCAACCCTCTTCCGTTTAAAGCTTTATGAAGAAGAATCATACCTAAACCACCAAAGTGGGGCGGGGGTGGGGAGGTCAATACAGGAAGATTTTAAATGGACAGTTCTAAGAAAGATTGAAACTAATGGCCTAATTTCTACCTAAAAGCACTAAATCCTATTTAGATACCGAGTCCACTCCACATCACATTGGGGATCCAGACTGTGCGTTTATCAGGAGAGCAGGTAGGATATAGGGCTAAGTATACGTCAGCACACAGACTTTGGCAGAGCTGGTGAACTCAGTTTCTTCATGACGACAAATACTACATGTCTTACGGACTTTATATTTAGTAACGTTTAATCTGAATGTCCCTCTGAGGCTGAGGAGCTTCCCCAAAGCCCCGGAGCAGGAGGCAGAGTGGACCTGGGACCCGGCCTCACGGGGTTACGAAGCTTGCAGCCAGGGATTACACATTTTCTCTGGGATTAGGCCCGGGTCAATTAGGGGCCGTACATGTTTTCTAGAATCTGGGGCAGCTATCTGAGCCTAGAGTATTCTTCACTGAGAGATTTCCAGTACAAATGTGATCTCTTTAATAGATACGGGGCCACTCAGATCTTTTTGCTCCCGTGATCGGCACTTACCAGTTTTTGGTCAAGTGCATCTTTCTAGAGGTTTGTCTGTTTCATCTAAGTAGTCAAGTTTATTGGCATAAAGTTGTTCTTCGCCCTACAGACACTGGTAAGTCAGTGCACACACCTCACGAGTGTGTTCCCCGACCCCCTGAAGATATACACGCTCTCCACCCCAACCCCATTTCATTCTGGAGGAGACCCAGACTGAGCAGGGTCCTTCCTGTGCCCTGTGAGAAGTGCTGGTGGCAGGATTCGAAGCCCTCTGGCTTTAAACTGCTTTGGTTCTGAAGACCAGGTCCTATTACTTTTAAAATGAGAATTACAGCCCGGCCTGCTTGGCTCAGTGGTTGAACATCGACCTATGAACCAGGAGGCACAGTTTGATTCCCAGTCAGGGCACATGCCCGGGTTGCAGGCACGATCCCCAGTGTGGGCCGTGCAGGAGGCAGCCAATCAATGATTCTCTCTCACCATTGATATTTCTCTCTCTCTCTCCCTCTCCCTTCCTCTCTGAAATCAATAAAAATATATTAAATAAAAATAAATAAATAAATAAAATGGGAATTACAGCTACTTCACTGAGTAGCTTGTGAGGATTAAATGAGATGAAATAGACCAAGCATGCACAAAATGCCTGCTCACTCGCACATGGGCCACAAATTATCAAAACTATTGCCCTAACCGGTTTGGCTCAGCGGATAGAGCATCGGCCTGCGGACTCAAGGGTCCCAGGTTCGATTCCGGTCAAGGGCATGTACCTTGGTTGTGGGCACATCCCTAGTAGGGGGCGTGCAAGAGGCAGCTGATCGATGTTTCTCTCTCATCGATGTTTCTAACTCTCTATACCTCTCCCCTCCTCTCTGTAAAAAATCAATAAAATATATTTTAAAAAAAACAACTATAGACAGTGGAAGGCACAGAATGTTGCTTTACAAACTAAGTGCTGATGATGTAAAATAAAATATTTTCTTTTCCCAAGTTAGAAATTGAGCAAATTTGCTAACGCAGTAAATCTGACTAACTAACGGGAACCTGGTGGCGGACCTTATTCCTCTGATGCATGGATTTGGTACCTAACCGGCCCAATTACCGCCGCCCGGTACAAATACGACAAAAGAGGGCGCTGCAGAGGCCCACAGAGACCCCTGGTCCAGCCCCTCATTCACGGACACAGTCACTGGAGCTCAGAGCGATTAGGGCTTGACAAGGTTACTGACTGGCTGGTGGGTAGCAAGTGGCTCAGGCCTAGCGCTCTCCTATTTTTTTACTATTTTTCAGCTAGTATCTCTATTCTTTTCCTTCTTACTCTGAAGAATTTGCAAGGTCCTGCTAAACAATTCCCATGGTCTGTGGAGTTCAATTTTTTTTTTAAATGTCAACCCCAGATTTTTTTGTGGCTGTGAGGAAACACAGAAGGTATCATTAGCACTGAACTAACCCCCGTGGCAAATCGGGTCAGGCCTAGCCTTGCTTAATGCAAGCAGCATAGGGCTGCCGGAGCCAACACACATTTACTTCCCTGGCCGTGAACTCTGCCTGGGAGCGTCTGGCTACACTGAAGAGCCCGGCAAGCAACACAAGAGACAGGCTCTGAGGTCAACAGGTTGGAAGCGTCTGGCCAGAAGATTCAGCTGGAAAAGCTTAATCCATTCATTCTGCTGTTGGCCAGGCAACACCCAGCTCTTGGCCCTGACACCACTGCTGCCTAAATTCAGTGGCCTCCAAAATCCCTGTCAACCGAGGCAGATGGTGCGGGCCTGTGACAAAAGTCAAGGTGCCAACACAAGACTTTTAGATACAAGACCAAACTGTTTGAAATAGTGAATAAGGGTCTACAGTCCCGTGTCGGTGAGTTTCTGGGGCTGGGGAAACCAGGACTGCATGAGAGTCATCGAAACCACTTGTTATCATTTAACATGGACGTGTGAGCTCACTTGGACTTTGGACTAACGTTCAGATCGGATTTATGTCCCCTGCGTAGGGTGGGCTGTGGCTGCCCATTCCCAGTTCTGCGCCGTTAGCAACCGCTTCCACAGATAAAACACTCTTCCGACTGCCACCGCCTCCGGAAAGCTGAGAAAGGGAAGGCTAGGGGGCTGGGAGCCTCAGTAATTAAATAACCCTGAGCTTGTGGAGATTTTGGAAAAACTGCACCCATTTTTTAATATTTTTACAACCAACATGTAACATTTGTTTAACCAGGGGAAAACCTTTTAAAAATATCTTCAATTACAATTCAATTAAAATTCCAAATTCGATGGGTCACTATGCAAATGTAATACCATTTTAATCTCAAACAAGAAATGCCGAACTATGAGAGTCAGTCCGACAAGCAGCAACGTGCTGACCAAGAGCTAGGCTTGCACTGAACCACGCCCTGCTGCCTGGCAGGAGGCTGCCTGCATCTTCATTTATAAGAGGGAGAATGGCCTTGCAGAGGGGCATGCGGGCGACTGCTGGGGATGCATTTTAGTCCCAACATCACTGAAAAAATAAGCTGTTTAACTGGGGGAATTACAATTCAGCTTCCCCCTGTCTACACTCTACAGCGAGCGAGGCAGGTTTCAATGACATTGTTTGGTTCTTTCTCAGATGCAATGCTTCCAGAACTGTAATAATATTTGGACCATATATGCAAAAGCCAGGAACTAGGCTTAGCGGTAGGCAGGACCTCATACGTGTTTCTTTAGTATCTTTTCCAAAGATCTTGCCAGTTGGCCTGAACCCGTGATCAATTTTAAGAGCCACTCCCAGCTGCAATTTAACTTTCCTTTGTAAAAGCAATTGGGGGGTGTGAGGGGGAGCAATAAAATGGCTGTCTCTCTAGCACACAGTACATTCCCTGATAAGTTCTTATCAAGTCTTGCTTCTGTATTTAATGACAAAACCCTGCCCCCTATCCCACCCCAACACAGCTTACTCAATATTTTTTGAGCAATTCACAATCAGGCTTTTACTGATGATGATTTCTCAGCAATATAGGTACTGTACATACTGATGCAATGCTTTCTAAATTATATTTGGCAAGCTTACTGTGCTTTCACCGCAAAGGTAAACACGTGTTGAACTTCACAGAACTAAAAAGAGAAGCGAATCCCAGCAGTAAAAACGAAAGGCCACACGGGACTGAACGCTGCAGGTGAAGTGAGGAAGCAGTGGAAAGGTGCTGGGCGGGGCCAGTGCACATATACAGCTGCCAGCACGGTGTTCCAGGTGACCTCAGGAAATGTCCCAGCTCACTCTGGTCAGGCAAGTCGCCATTTACACAGCTTCACAGGAGCTCTGCTTCTCTGGTACCCTGATCTCGTCAATGATAGTCACGATTCTTCCCATCATTCCCAGGCCAGCCAGCACCATTCCCGTTTCACAGGGGAGCCCTGATGTTCCATGGCTGTCATTTGCACAGTCAACCAGGATAGGCACTAAGGTTTATGACCTGTCTGATAAACATGACTGTCTTTCACTTTCAACAAAAATCTCAACCAACATGCTCAGGAACATGGGTGCTGTCACTCAACTGATGACACACTCAGTGATGCCATCCCCATCAAAGCTCCTGTAGATCGCTGCTTTTAGAATGAATCGCCTTCATGGAGCTGGGAGAAGTCCTAGCACTGACAGCACCCTCACGGAACGGCCCATCTCACTCAGCTTCGATACTGAGTCTACGTCCACAAGCAGCCTCTTACAACGGTTGGGCCACTTTCATATCAAAAGTTCTTATTACTTCCTATTTCATTTATTGTACTTGGTCAAAGATAATAGACTTATCTGTACTATGAACCGTATTAATCAGATGCAGTGTCTTAATGACTTTCAGCTTCTTACAAACAGCAAGATCGTTATTAAAAGATGAAGATGGACAACCAGGGAGGAAGTTCAATGAAATGTAGAGCAGTGTCCCCTTATCCACAGGGGATGGTGCCAAGACCTCCAGGGGATGCCTGAAACCACAGAGAGTACTGGACACCATAGGCACTATGTTTTTCCTGTACATAGTCTCCTTCTCACTGAAAGGAAGCACTTTTGGGCTTCTCTTTGGCACATCCGAACTGCCAGGATCACCACTTGCGTGCGTTGGGGCCATCATCAGGTAAAATAAGGGTGACCTAAACACAAGCACTGCGACACCGTGACGGTGGCTCTGATGACTAAAACCGCGACTGAATGGCTAACGGCAAGTAGTGTAGACAGCGAGGAAACTTTGGACAAAGGGATGATGGATGTCCGGGCAGGATGGAGTGGGACAAAGCTCAAGGTTTCATCACACTACTCAGAACAGCACACACAATTTAAAACTTATGAACTGTTTATTTCTGGAATTTTCCATTTAATATTTCCAGACCACAGGTAACTGAAAACCACAGCTAAAGGGAGACCGCTGGACTCTAATTCCAAAACCTCCTTGGGAGTGACGGCCCGGCCGACTCCTGCCCGGGCTCCCTCTGAGGGTATGTCCAGAATCCCTCATCAAATTCCTCATTAGTTTATGGCCAGGCCGCTCTCTACACTCCAAGTCCCATGTTCTTTCCATTATACCATCCAGGGAACATAAACTCAGCTCTCAGCTACTTCGAAAATAATACTTATTGCTTCAAGTGACAGCATAGAAACAGGAAATGAACAAAACCTAAGCTTTCAAAGTTCACGGCATATTTGGATCCTGACATGCCCCTGGGCAGGTTGCTCGGCTTCTCTGGGCTTTACTTTCCTTTCTTCTTCCGAGTAATACCCTGGAGCCGTCCTCAGGACCGAGTGAGCCTGGCTACATAAACACCCTGATATCACAAGGTAGAGTTCGGCTAATGTTGACGCTTCAGGTTACCTGCAGCTCACTAAACACGCACACAGAGTGAGGTTATGAAGTTAGTGATTATGTGGGATTAGTTCACATACAACATCGAGGCACAGACTCTGGCTGAGGGCAACGCAGGGAGAGAGAGAACAAAACAAAACCCACTTTTAGGAGGTTAAAGCTTACATTTGCAGGTGGTCTCTCAGAAGTTCTAGGCACTATGCTAAAAATGGCCATATAGGGATAACTAATACAGTTAGTGAGATCATTAGATCTCCAAAAAGTGGTGTTCATTTTACTGATTAACAGATATTTACGTCTATGTAATTGTACAGTCGTATGTAAAGTGTTGCACATGAGAGTGTCTTGCTTCCTTTGAAAGGCAGCATGCTTACGTCTGATGTGATGTCACTTTCAAGCCGAGATAAGTTCTGATCACCAGGCCCGCCGAGTCTAAAGAATGGCAAACCAACCTTGGAGCTTCTGGTTTTCCTTCTCCATCCTGAGGAGGAGGATCTGCTGTAGAATCGCCTTGCGCCACAGTTCGCGAAGCTCGCGCGATGTCCTTCTCTTCTCCTCCGGGACAGGGCCGAAGGGCCCATCCTCACAAACGGGCTCTAATGGAGACCGTGGCGGAAGCTCTCCCAGCTCAGAATAATCTGGAGGGAAAAGGACATTTCAGAACGGTCATTTTTCAATAACAATTTATATTCAAACATGTTGCCAAGTCAGAAAATTCTCCTCACCATGTGGTATTACCCAAACTTATGATTCATGTCTTAATATGCACTGTAATAAACTATGTTTGAACTACAGACATCTAACAACATGTAAATAGTAAGCAAAAGTTGTAGAAGCTTAGGAAATGTTCAAAGACACCTACTTATTTAAGGTGCAATACACCTCCTTCTGAGTTAATGAGTACATTAGTAGTGAGAGCAAACATTCACCTGGTGCTCACGATGTATGTATAATCATTTACTTAACACCCAACCACCCCAAGACATGGGTACTAGAACTATTCCGTCTTAAAGAAAGCAACCTGATACACAGGGAATTTAAGTCACTTTCCCAATGTCACACAGGTAGGAAGTAGCAGAGCCAGGACTGGAACCCAGTCTTGCTTTCATATGCATGCTCAACCACTCTGTTATAGGTATTTAGAAAGGTATTTGGAAAGAAAATTAAAACATATTTAATAGCAAATAATGACAGTGACCATTAACAGACCCTCTATCAAGTGCTGGGCACAGTACCAGGTGTGTTATGTACTGATTCAATCCCTCAATTCCAGAAGGCAGGCATTAGCATGAAGAGGAAACCAAGGCTCAGAGAAGCCAGGGGACTTGCCTGGGGCCATTCAGTGAATACACAGGGGCATTGGGGCACTAACCTATGTCTGCCCAACTCGGAAGCCCATGCTTTCCGATGGGTACCCACCGATTCAATGCATCCTATGGTGTCAATTTTTAAATTTCCATTTATTAGCTGAAATCTCTTTACAGTTCATGAATCTGTACCTTTCTCAACTGCAGAGTCTATGTTGCCGGTACACAATGTTACCACTCACAAATACCGACAACACGCACGGAGAGCACCCCCTGCCAGCTATGCAACTAGCTCTGAACCGCAGCACAAGTTCCTCTCCGAGTGGCCCCATCTGACACAAATCATCCTTGGGAACTTCTGTCTAAACTGAACCTAAACATCATCATGGTGTGAACACATGCCATGAAAGCCCTGAGCCTCACACCACCCGTAAAGCTCCGAGGCAATTCCACATGAGCGACTCATTTCCAGAACAGTCGTCGGCATCGGCCGCTGTTACCTTTATCTGAATTTGCGTTTATTTTCCTGCTATAAAATCAAACACGACCACAAAATGTTTAATTTCCTACAATAACTTGTCCATGTTAACTCCTTTTAAAATGACTGGATTAAAAAAATTATGATGGGGGGGGGATACTGTATGTGGTATAGGACTGTCTAACCACTATGCTGTACATCTGACACTAATGCAAAATAATATTGAGTGTAAACTGTAACTGGAAAATAAAATTAAACAAAGAAAAATCAAATAAAAAATTATGAAAAGCATTAAGAAATCTTAATGATCTCTGTAGCATTTAAATGCTTTTCATCACATTTCTATATATGCTTATTTCATTATGATCCTATTAAACAAGTGAGTAAATTAAAATTCTACTTTGTTTAGAGGTAAGAAGTTATACACAGTTCATGTACAGTACAGGAGGATGCTCAAATGTTAATGGCCAACATAAATGCAGGAATCAGAATTCTCTGTATATTATAACATGTGATAAGGCAGTACAGTTCAGTGACTAATAGGTCAGGTTCTGGAGCCAGGCTGCCTGGGTTTTAATCAAGAATCTGCCTTTACTGATTCTGTGACCTTTAGCAAATTGCTTAACTTCTTTGTGCCTCAGTTTCCCAATCTGTCAAGTGGGAATAACAGCACCTCCCTCGTTGCGGTGCTAGAGGGACCAAATTAATACACATATTATAAACCACCTAAAACAGGATACGACACACAGTAAGAATATAGTAAACCTATTAGCTGTTTAGCCAGACAACTGGAAGCTCTAAGAAGACTCCACAAAGCCACCTTGTCAGGGAGGATTTGTTCCACACCAAGCATGGGGCCTGGCACCCAGCAGGTACTTTATAAATAACTGATGAATAAAGGAAGAGACAAGCAGGTGCTGGGTTTGGGCATGTTTGTCATTCTTCTTTGTATTTCCTGTATTTTCTGAATGCATGACAATAAACAATTTTTATCATCAGAAAATTAAAGAAAAATAATGCTAAAGTGTTCTGATTTAAGTCAAAGATTGAAAAATACAAAACCCCTGGAAGACAAATCAATCCACAAACACCAGGATGCACAGGTGCTCTAGACATTGTGGAATATGATCAACTCTAATCCCTTTTTCAGAAGGAATCTGAGTCATGTTCTTGTTTCATCCCACTCTGCAGCCTGAAGTCTTCCATTTGAACCCTTTCCTTTTTTCCTCCTTTTACCATCTTGCTGCTGAAACTCTGCTGGACACTCAATAATGATTCCAGTTCTGCTTTACCTCATGTTGGAAGTATTTACACTCCTACTGGTTCACAAGAGTCTCGTTTCCAAACAGTGTGACTCCCAGCTGATGACACAGGCACCAGGGCAGCGATTAGAGTAGCAGGTCAGCGCTCTTTCACGTGTGTGTGTGCGCGCGCGCGCGCGCGTGCGCGTGTGTGTGTGTGTGTGTGTGTATGACAGGCACAGGGCAGCGGTTAGAGTAGCGGGTCAGTGAACTTTCAAATACGTGTGTGTGTGTGTGGGGGGCAGCGGTTAGAGTAGCAGGTCAGCACACTTTCACGTGTGTGTGTGTGTGTGTGTGTCACGCGCATCCGACAGTCAACAAAACAGTAGGTGAAGTTAACCTGACAATTCTTTGCCATTCTTTTTGTTTTTCTGAGTTAGACATTTTTTTCTTAATTTTATTTTCCAATTACAGTTAACATTCAATATTATTTTGTATTGGTTTCAGGTGTACAGCCTAGTGGTTAGACAATCACATACTTTACAAAGTGCTCCCCTGATATTTCCAGTTCCCGCCTGGCACCATGCCTAGTCATTACAACGTATTTCCTATGCTTACTTTACATCCCCCTGAACAGTTTGTAATGACTATCTTGTGCTTTTTAATCCCTTCACCTTTTTCACTCAGTCCTTCACCCCCGCTCCTCCGGCAACCATCAGTCTGTTCTCTGTATCTATGAGTCTGTTTCAATTTTGTTTGTTTATTTTATTCACAAATAAGTGAAATCGTATGGCATTCTATCCCATTCTTAAACTCTACTAATAAGACAAGGGCTCATCTCACCCAGTCTCCTTCCTCAACACTTATCTTCTCTGTCTACCGCAGCCTTTCTCCTGGATGTCTTGAAAATTCCGGCTACATTCCTCTCAAATGGAGTGTAATGGACAGAGCAGGTGTAACTCAGGCCGGCTCATGGAGCTCGACGTCTAGGAGTTTAGGCTGTTTGGTCCATGTATTTCTGCCAACTGGGTCGCTGACAAGGACCACAGGCTATAGAAGCTTATGAAGCTCCAGCTTTTGCTATTTTCTTATTCAGAGAAATCCAATCTGCCAAGGGTACAAGCATTGTTTGGTGATGACGACTGTGGGGTTTGAGGCATAAACTGCCTCCCTAATGCTCGCTGCTCTTGCCTTCTTTTACTTATTGTCAGTCACAACTCAGTTTGCTGAGCTTTTACCACGTGATGAGTCCTTGACACAAATAAGTTTGTCTGATTCTCACACCACCTCATGAGAAAGGCGATGATAGCCCCATTTTACAGCCAAACCACCCAGGGGCCATGGGGTTTGTGTTAACTTTGCCAAGATCAGTGGTCGACAAACTGCGGCTCGCGAGCCACATGCGGCTCTTTGGCCCCTTAAGTGTGGCTCTTCCACAAAATACCGACTTCTGTGTATGGGCCATGAAGTTTCAATCGCACTGTACGTGCGTACCTGCACGTGGTATTTTGTGGAAGAGCCACACTCAATGGGGCCAAAGAGCCACATGTGGCTCACGAGCCGGTTTGCCGACCACTGACCAAGGTCATACCACTAGTCAGAGTCAGAGTCGTAGTCACGGTGTCATTTCGTCCACAGTAAACAATGCGTGTCCAGTGCCTCCCTGCCTTCTGGGTGCACAGCATCCTGGGGGCATCTTGCTAAAACCCTGACTCTGATTCAGCGGGTCTGAGGGGAACCTGGGCATCTGGATTGCCACCAAGCTCCCAGGGGCGGCCACACTGCGATTCTCCAAACACTCTGAATGGTGGGGCTCACACTACATTTTCACGGTCCATGCTCTCCTGTGACCCTATGTACTTACTATCATGTCAGCTCTTCATTTACTCTCACTGTTTCCACTAGGACACAGACCAAAAGCTGCTACTGTCAGCTGCCTGGCCATGTGTGAACGGAAGCCTTCACACATGGCCAGAGCTTGTCCTGACCTTGATCAGGGTACCAAGGCCAAGGGCAGGACGCAAAGGATTGCAAGTGCTCATGCTAACTTCACCTCTGAATTACTCAATCACAGCGAGTCCACAGAAAAGATCGGCAAGCAAACCTCACCGTTGACAGCAGGGTTTCTCAGCCGCGGCACTCCTCGTATTCTGGGAGGGGCAATCCCATGGGGGGATGTTCCGGGCACTGTAGGATGGTTAGCAGCATCCTGGGCACTGCCCACTAGATGCCAGTAGTACCCGCCCACCCCAGTAGTGACAATAAAAATGCCCAGATACTGCTAAATGCCCTCTGGGGAGAAGGAGGGGCAAGATCACCCCCAACAGGAATCTGATTCTGAACTTTACAAACCTATCACTTATTGTCGCGTAAAACCTGGGGAGAGGTACGAACGTACCTGCTTCGTCCACGTTTACTTTATGTGGTAACAATTACTGAAGTTACAGTTTATAATGAACAAGAATTTTTAAAAGTATATTCTCTTTTGTTCATATTAAGAGTAGCCTAGTTACAGAATAGCTCAGTGACTTACAAGAGGGGGACAGTTACATATCTGTTTGTTCTAAATCTGACCTGGCTAATTCAATCCGAGAGGGCTGTTTCCTTATCAG